AAACTCCTAAGAAGAGTAATAGTCTTTTAATATTTACAATTTTGATTTTGGCAAATTGTGTTTATAATATGTCAAAATCACTAATGGTTTAGTATAACTTTAGGTCTCAAAAAATAAAGAGAAAGACATACTATCATAGTCTCATTTAGAGAAAGGACATTTACCGGCAATGCTTTATTATAACTTAAAGTCCAGGGTGTTGAATAGAAATAGCATAGTGAGCTATACAATTATTGAAATCTTCCATACTTTCATAATTGGGAATATGTGCTCTCTTATGTTCCTCATAAGCTGCTATGACATTAAAATCACCACCCACCACCCAGGGGACAGACTGATTATTCTCATGCCAATGTGATGAAAACCCCAAAGCTCTTCTCTCTGGTCCATTACAACACATTTGTCATGGATAAGAGTAAGTCAAGAGATAGAGATCTAAAAAAAAGAAAGAACTTGTTGCTCCTCCCACGTAATATGGGAAATAAAGAACACAAAATATTCCAAAACAACCAAATTTCCTATTTGGATGTAAAAATGGAAATAAACTGAATGTCTGACTGCCTAATTAAACTAAAGTCTCGATGAAACAGGACCTCTGGTATTCCAAAATGAGCAATTCATAAAAAAGATGGCAAAGGCTCTCGTCTAGTGAGGTTAGAGGATATATGTCTTAGGAGGAACCCTAGTTTATATTTTCCTCTTAAACAACTTGAATAAATCCATAATTAGAATCAACGTTGTGAATTTGGCTAGAAGCTTCCTCATAGTGAAGTAATTTATTTGCTCGTTCCTTAAACTTTAGTCATTCCTTTTGTTTAATTACAATAGCTAATTTGTTTATAGATATTCCAACTCCTCAAGCTAAACCTCCTTATCAGAAATATGAGTTAACTATCTCCATTGATACCATATCATTTATTCAGCAAAGAAGGGTCAAACTCCAGACATGCACTAATATAGTTAAGAGTAGTCATTAAGGGTTTACAATTTCTTCAATAACAAGTATATTTTGTTGCAATTATATACTCCTTCTGAAACCTTCCTTTGAATGCTAGTTCTAGAATCAACCCTAGGGGCTGACATTGGAGCTTTACCTTTGTCCTTCTCAGTATTTGCGTTTTTAGGAGTCTTACCTTGAATTTTGTCTTTAAGTTCGGGATACTATACTTCTTTTGCAATCACATTAGCCGGTGCATTGGTTGCAAGGACACCTTTGAATCACATAGGCTTCTTATGAGGGATATGGATGTTGAATGAGTTGATAAGAACACGCATAAAAGATTTCATATCTTTCATCTTCCCGTTGGCCGGAGAAGGTTACTGTAGAGCTGTCATAATGATTGGATTGGGCATCCACCGAAAGATGATATCATGCATCTTGGCCTAGTCTGAGAAATCTCTCCATAACACAATATCTTGTTTGTACTTAAGTCTAATTTGTCAATACCTTTTACAAAAGGTGCTTACCTTTTGAGTTCCTGCTACCCGAGAGTGACAAACATGCTTGATAATAAAGAGATATTACCTGAAATAGGACTAAAACAGTTTGAGAATTCCAAAATAGGACTGCCATGTTTTTATTCCCAAAATAGGATTAATTACTGCCATGTTTTGGCAGTACCAGACTTCAAACATGGCAGTAATTAGTCCTATTTTGGGAATAAAAAATATGACAATCCTATTTTGGAATTTTGAAACTGTTTTAGTCCTATTTCAGGAAGTTTCCCTTGATTTTATGTGTGTTATCATTGGTTTCAAGGAGTTGAATGCCCAAGGTCCTAGGATATTGGATTTACAACTTGAAACACACCATGCCCAATAATTATAATGGTTGACTATTGTCCGGATTCTCAAATTTGAGATGATTTAAAAGTCAAGAATTATTTTACTAAGATTTGGAATTGATATAAAATACTCTTTAACTAATGATGGTGAGTGGTCCAATCCCCTATAAATAAATGAGAATATCTTAACTAAGATGTAATTGATTGGTTAAAGTTATTAGTTAATAATGTATTTATTTTTAAATCATTTAGTTGTTGTATCTCAATGGAGGATTGTGAATAAGGGATGATGTTGGTGCCATGAAATGTGGTATTAATAATTAGGGGAGCTCCGCGGTACATGCACTTTGTGGAATGTTTTAGCGTATGATACATGTGGCTAAATATCATTGAGAATGCATTCCACATAAATCATCTAATTAAAAGATTAAAAATATGAAAAGGGAACCTTACAAGACTAAAAAAAACTCGAAAGCTCTATTCACCTGTCCAGAACTGTAACGACCGTTCCCAAACGGCCATTAAGATACTCAAACATAAACAAGACGCGATATACAAAGCGGTGTAGAACTGTAACGACCGTGCCGAAAACGCCCTTTTCGCATTAAATCGACCCTGATCATTGCCGATCCCATCCTAGACTCCCGATGACTTTTTAAACTATATTTTAAACACCCGAATACTATCTAATATGCCAACTAATTTGATATACCATTACATTCGAAACATGAATGATTATTACAGTGTAGTTTCGTTGCTCATCGGATACTGTCGCCTGTCACGTTCAAACATAATACAAGCATGTAAGTTCAAATATCATTATCACAAAGTTCATAATCGCATGTTATCCCTACACTTCACACATATAACACTCAAACATAAGTTAAAACATGATCATATATAACAATAATTAGCACATAAGAAGTAGATAAAAGTACGAGCATTACAAGAGTTCTGCCAATTCTCCTCTTTCCTTTTTCATTTTGTGTCTTCCCTTCTAATAGAAAACATGTAAGATTACTAATTCAATTGAAATTTATGTGTATACTGTATACTTTCCTTTTGTATGCTTCCAGAATTGTTCGACGTCGGAACTGAGGTTACAACGAGAGCTAGGTTGAATGAAGGAAGGAGCTAGACCAGTGAGCTATTACACTTTCTTCAAAGGATGTCTGCTTCCAAATCAACCTCCTGATTGTCATCGCTCGATCACTTCCTTTTCCACTAAGGCCCCAGTCTCACCGAAAGGGAACATAACAGTCCTTTAAAGAAAGCGCAGTATGGTTTTGCCCAACTTTAGGTGTATTAGCCTACTTGTCGCTCAATCCAATCCACCCTTCACCAATAAAATTTCGAGCAGCTCCGTGCTTTGGACTAAATTTCATTTCAAAATTAATTGACTAAATTTTATAAATTTCAACGTATAAGCTAAACACAAATCACCTCTTTCATTTGAGTATAATGTGATGAAGAAAATCATGCCAGCATATACATAAACCACAGTTTACCCAAACTAAATTCACACTAAATCAATTCACAACGCAAAACGTAAATCAAATTAGCGACAATAACTTTAGCATACAAGTTCGCCCCTAATTGGTGAAAAGTGAAAAACTTAGAGATGATGACATCCATCTTGGGTTGAACCGCTACCACGAAGTGTGGATATGTGCGAACTTATGATGAAGATGCTGGACTTCCGTTTAGGGATGACAATGGGGCGGATCGGGGTCAGTTCTACATATAATCGTACCCGCTCTGTTGAGTAATTATCCTGCCCCGTAACCGCCCCATTACTCAACGTGCAAGGTCGTCTAATGAATTTGGAGGCCCCGGTTCTAAATGTAAAATCGAGGCCCATATTAATATGAAAAGTAAAAAAAAAATCTAAATCTAAACACGTATACTGAAATCATTTGAATACTCGTTAAAAGAGAACTAAAAGAGTGAAAGGACCAACGAAAAAATGATGGATCTATATTTTTCTTCCTTACTAACTGTATTTTACTGATTAGTATTAATATAATATTACTATATAATACTAAAAAATTTTAAAAAATCCGGCCCCCAAATTACTATTACTATATAATACTAATTTTTTTTACTAATAACTGGATCTATATAGTAATACTAATATTACTATATAATACTAATAATTTTTACCCAAATTATAACTGTCCAAGGGGTCACGGGTATAACCGCTGGTAATCAATTTATTAAATGAGTTGTTGATATTTAAATATAAAAGTAATATTTAAAAGAGAAAAAAGACACCACCTAGACGATTCTAGACTCATAAGCCACTTTAAAGTTTTGCATATCTACAAGACGAGAAAGAAAGCAACATAAATTAATTTGAATTTAAAAATAATTAATCACTAAAAAAATAATTTAAAAATATGATAATAAAAAGCAAGACTATTAAGATCTATTATGAACTTTCATTGAAAAAATTCCACTTTTGGTCCCATGATTATTATACCACTTCCACATTTAGTCCATTACTTTCAGATTGTCAACATTTAGTCCGTGACCATTATCCCCTCACCACCCCTCATCCTTCCGGTCAAAATTCCGACAAAATTAGTCCACTTATCAGCATCAGAATCAGTTTTTACATTAAACTTTATATAAGGTTAGATTTTTCATATCAGTAATTGCATTAAATTTGTTTTTTCATACCTAAAATCTGCATTAAATTTGCCGGAATTTTGGCCGGAAGGACAAGGGGTGGTGAGGGGATAATGGTGACGGACTAAATGTGGATAATTTGAAAGTAAGAGACTAAATGTGGAAGTGGTAAAATAGTCATGAGACCAAAAGTGAAATATTTTCAACTTTCATTCATACACTTTAGTTAGTATCTATTATCCATACATACATAATGAAAAATAGAAAAATCTTATCTTTTAGTAGTTGCAGGATAAATAATAGATAAAAATGGGGCGAGCATGTATAAAACTGTAATCGCCCGTTACTCGTAAAAACAAAACGAATATTCCTCACGCCGTACATGTTATCCGGTACAAAACGAATACTCGTAAAAACTTCCACTTTCCCTTTTTAGTAAAGAATTTATGGTTCACAACATTTCTTACGCATTTCTCTCTCCTCTGCACAACTCTCCACCACACAATACACACTATCTGAAATTGTGTGTCAAACCTATTTGTATGATAAAATAGGAAAGCGGAGTAGCAAGTAATATTGCGTTAGGACATCCATTCGTGTACACTTGGCAGTGCTCTATTGGATAGTTCTACAAAAAATGACGCGCAAAACATAAAAGCAATTTACTTTTTGTAAAACACGAAAGGCTTGAATCACATCTTTTGGAGTTTCTACAAAATTCTATCCAATTGCCAGAGGTTTTTTTGTTGGTTTATCTTCATCAAATCCTCCATTTCAACCGACTGCAATCCGCTTCCCGCAATTCTTCAGAGGATTGACCAGCTCTTTTTCAACTTTTCCGTTCGTTTTCCATCAATGCTTTCCAAAACCTAGGGTTTCCATTCGATCACTTGTTATCTGATTTGATACGTACACTTGTGATGAGAAGAAGGGACAAAGGTGTTTTCTGAGAAGAAGAACAAAACGAGTTTTGCAGAATAGGAGAACTGAAAAGGCAACACTAAGGGAAAGTGTCGCTCTGGTCATTTTTGAGGTACAAATGTGACGCTTGGGGAGTTGAGTCTTCGTAGATCGTATTTTTTTTTTCCAAACTTGAGTCGTTTCTGTTCAGTCTGCGTGGTTTCCGATTTCCGACCCTGAGCGTTCGTTTCGGAATTCCGACCGTGAGCCTCCTATTGTTTCCTACAAATATGAACGACGAAGATCTATGGAGATAGACGATTCCGCGATCTAACGAATTAAGCTCAACCATATACCCACAACGCGTAAGATCGTACGAGTTAACGAGTTAACTAGCGATCTGATAACCTTGAATTTTTATATTATCTAATTGTTTTATATACTATCCTACTACGTAATGTTTATGTCTTAGATTATGAAGAAATTCTTTAGGCCTATTGAAATGTGTGATTTTATATTTTACTTTTTTATATAGAGTTAATTGTAGTGTGTGATTTTATTTGTTACTATTTTGTTATTTAGGTTATTCTATTTTTTTACCCACACTGGATTAAAATGTTAGATCTGCCCCTTATCCGTAGGTTCTTTCAATTTCAAGATTTCTATTTTGTTATTTTCACCAATTCTATTTAAATGGATTGATTGAAAAATGTTTTCTTGCAGCTCACATAGAAGAGGAACAGGAAAATGTTGAGGCTGCAAACATATGCAGGGCTTAGCTTAATAGCTACACTGGCTGTTATTTATCATGCTTTCAACAGTCGAGGCCAATTTTACCCAGCAACACTCTACTTATCAACCTCGAAGATCTGTTTAGTGATTCTCCTTAACATGGGTCTTGTCATTATGTGCATTTTGTGGCAATTAACTAAGAAAATATTCCTTGGTTCCCTTCGTGAGGCTGAGGTTGAGAGGCTAAATGAACAGTCATGGCGGGAAGTCATGGAAATACTTTTCGCTATCACTATCTTCCGACAAGACTTCTCAGTTTCATTTCTTGCTATGGTTACCGCCCTTCTACTTATTAAGGCCTTGCATTGGTTGGCTCAAAAGAGAGTCGAGTACATTGAAACAACCCCGACAGTTCCGCTGTTGTCCCACTTTCGTATTGTCTCCTTTATGGGGTTTCTCCTGGTTATAGATAGTCTCTTCTTGTACAATTCCATCAGCTATTTAATGCAGACAAGACAGGCTTCAGTTTCTCTATTCTTTTCGTTTGAGTGAGTTGTTGTTCTACTTAGTTCTGCAAGCCTGATCATGCACTTAAGCTCCGTTTGTTTCCATGAAAGTATTTCCTTGTAAAATGTTTTCTGATCTTCCTGTTTTTAGGCATTTGAAAATGGTAAAATTTTCCCATATTCTGGGGCATACATTATACTACGGAGTATGATATATTATACGTAAAACCACTTAATTTCTTGAAAACTTTTTCAATGGAATACTAAAGGAAAATATTTCCTCATGGACATTTTCAACATGTTTCTGGAAACGGATGGTGCCTTTGTCATGTTAGCCCATGCTAGTTTGATTGTATACACATCCAGTCATCTATGGTGCCTTTGTCATGTTAGCCCATGTTTGTTGTTTATATTTACTTTAGTTCTCTCTTTAAGCAACTTTATTGGTGCTTTGTCTCAGGTACATGATTCTTGCAACAGCTACAGTTTCAACTTTTGTGAAATATGTATTTTATGTAAGTGACATGCTTATGGAAGGACAATGGGAGGGAAAAGCTGTCTGTACATTCTACTTGGAACTTATCCGAGACTTGCTCCACTTGTCTATGTACCTATGCTTCTTCCTTGTGATTTTTATGTAAGTATCGACACTTGACATTACTGTTCTTCTCTTCATGTTATGTGCTTGTAAGTGGTAAAGCCCGAGTTACATAGTGTGTTACCTTCAACGCAATGTTGAAGCTGGTCCAAGATAAAAATATAAAAAGGGTTTCATGTAACTTGAGATGAACTATGAATGCACTATTTACAAAGCAGTGAAAGCACCAATGTGAGGCTCTTAACAAAAGTCTCTTTTAAAAGGATGTCATCTGGCTTAACAAAGTACTTTAGTAAAATGGTGCTTGCATGCCAGTTGTATTGTATAATTGTGTTTTTTTAATTATGACCTTTGTACCCCAGTCTTTAGTTTTCTGAATTGCATACAGCTGCATTTGGTTCCAATTTAATGTGTATGCTAGATATAGCTTAATGAAATCATAATTTTTATAATTTATAATAATGTTTTTTGAAGAAGTAAATGATTTGTTTGAGCTTATAGGAAGAAAAAAGGGAATGATGCTTAAAGATTCACATTTTTTGTTAGAAAAAGTTGAACAGTGTAGGAGTAAAGAAGCACTTTGGAGTCTGACCTCTTTGAACTTAAAGGAAGAAAATGAAGGGAATGACTCACTTTTTTTGTTAGAAAAAACGGAACATGGAATTTTTGGAAGCTCTTCGGAGTTAAAGATGATCAAAACCTCCTTGTTTGCCAAATACAAAAAGAGGGACATTTAGGTAGTGTAGTAGGTATTCTGAACCAACCCTGAAAGGATGCACCCCCTATTTCACATATTTTTTCTGTAATGATGCACCATTTGCTATAGGTAGGTTCATTTTGTATTTATGTTTCACTTAATTGTCTAGAAACTATGGAGTACCCCTACACTTGATTCGAGAGCTTTATGAAACATTTCGCAACTTCAAGATTCGCATTGCTGATTACATACGCTATAGGAAGATCACTTCAAATATGAATGGTCGTTTTCCAGATGCTACACCCGAAGAGCTCAATGCGTAAGTTGCTTGAACCAAAAACATTTTCTATGTGATTTCTTTAGTCATTTTTGTAACACTTGTTTTCATTGCAGAAGTGATGCTACATGCATCATTTGCCGAGAAGAGATGACCAACGCAAAGAAACTTATCTGTGGACATCTTTTTCATGTGCATTGCCTCCGTTCATGGTTGGAAAGGCAGCACACCTGTCCTACCTGCAGAGCACAAGTTGTACCTTCTGAAAATAGTGAAGCAGGACCAACAGGACCACAAGCTCTTTCTCAGCACGGTATACAACTTTGTTTCACCGGTGATCCATTCTTTGTCATTTATATTGTTCTGAAAGATTTTGAATTACAATCCAGGACTGCGAAGTGTACATTACGTCAGTTTACAGTGTGTGCTTTAGCTTTAGCATATAAGTATTATATTCAAAAGCAAGTAGGGAACTTGGGTCAAAGAATCTTAGCCATGGTGCAAGTGCACAATAGTAGTTGGATATAACTTTTCTAATGTCCCCAAAACAATGCATCCATTGTGCCCATGAACATTCCGTAGAACCAAGGAGCAGAGTATCCGTTGTGCAATGTAGATGTGTGACAGTTGTTGCATATTGTCTAGGATGACTGGTTGATCACTAATCTGTGATATGGCATCAGAAGACATTTAAACCAAGCTTTATTTAACTTCACCCCAAACCCAATTTTTTTATTTTGTTTGGTTATTTGCTCTTCTTTTGTTTGTATTCATTTTATTGAAAAGGGAACTGGGAGGTCTTCATCTTTATTCATATTCATATTCATCAGGTAAAGTGATGGTGTGCTTTCTTTCATGCTAAAACTGCCAGGTGGTATTTGCACCTCAATTCTCACCGTGCATGTAAAACACATGCATTCGTATTCAAAAGAACAAACGTATCTTTCATAGATGCTTGGTTTTAATATTCTGGTGGTTATACATGCTGCACTTTCTTTCATATATCACTTATCTTCTTGGTTGGATGCAGGAACAAGTGTTCAAAGTTCATCCCAGGGTCCACAGGCTGGTGGTGAGAGAAATGGCAATATTAACCAGCATCAAGCTAGGGTACAAGCGGCCATCGCTGCTGCTTCAATATATGGAAAATCTTATGTTTATACTTATGCACCCATACAGTCGTGGTACTAGCTTTCTTATTCCATCATTGTATTCAGTGTATATGCTGTAATGCTGTATTGCAAGGGTATTGCAAATGTACATTATTTCTGCTACATAAGTATGTGTCTGTAATTTCAGGTAGATCTTTCTGGGATTAGTGTGGACTACTTAATTACTACCTGACATTTATAAACTCAATTTGGTAGCTTTAGTTTTGTGTCAAGGACACCATTGCTTTAGGTTCTGATTGGAAGCAGGACAATAAATATGTTAAGGAAAGAAAGCAGCGAGGAAAATAGAGGGAAAATATGGGTGGGAAAGAACTTGAGGAGAAAGTAGTACGGAGTAATAAACAATTGGTTATAACTCAATATATAAATTCAAGGTATTTGTTCAAATGCATTTATTATATAAATATTAAGAAATATAAATACATGTAGACTTATCAAATTATAATCAGTTTTGGTTTTCCTTGGCATTTTCCAAGGTAAAACCAAACTTTAAAAATAATCTTTATAGCAATTTTTTTCTCTTACCGTGCTACTTTACGTCTTAACATAGCCTGAAATTCTCATGGTTGCAGGTCCCCTGGATATACGCATCCTCCCACCAATAAACCTACAGATGACTCTGTCAGTGTAAACTCAGGTGGTGAGAGTGCTTCTTCGAGTGAGCATTCACAGCCACCACTTCAGTTTGCAAACCCAACGGGCTCTCAGTTTTCGCAGTCTGCTTTTATTCCCTTCCAGCATCCTGGCAGCAGCAGCTTGTACTCATCCCGGAGATCTAGTGGCAACCCATCAACTATCGAAGATCCTCTACTTGAGGCTCAGAAGACACTCATAGAACACCAGATTAAGGTGTGATGCTTAAATCAATGATCTATTATAATTGAATTGCTTGAAATGGCAGGAGTGAAACCCCAAACATGGGTATAATAACACCTAATATCTGACAATTCTGATAGCCCTTGTTTGGTTGGAAAACTTTGGAGGTAAAGAGAGGAAAGTGAAGGAATGTCGTGTTTTGGTTACTGGGGAAGCGGAGTATATTTTTAATTGCTTAAATGAATGATTTATTGTGATGCTTTGAATTACATAGATCATTGATTTAAGCAAAAAAGTACTTCGTATATTGAATGTAATATTTGTATATTTTTTTTTTTAAAACAATAACCCCTCTTCCTCTGGTCTCTTCCTTTGAAGTTTCAACTAACCATAGCAACTCTTTAGACTCTTACCTCCCATTTTCAACGAAATAAATTTAAGGAATGCTTAGAGTGAGTTTGGATAGATGGTATTGGAGGGGTCAGCCTGGATGGGCTCAGCCTGTATATTGATTTTGATTCGGTGCTTCGAAAACCAACAATTGGTGATTAAAATGTAATGTGATCATCTAGTATATTATTCATTAAAATTTTTTCTATAAAATAACAAATGTGTATCAAGATAGAGACTATTCCTCCAACACCCTTCCTCCTAACCAACCCTTCCAATACCCTTGATGATAGGAAATTAACAACATTGGGTTTTTGTATACTATGATTGCACTGCTGCAGGTTTTGCAAAACCAACTCACGCTTTTAAAGAACCCAAGAAATGTTGAGAACATGACTGCTGCCCCGGAAGCTTCTGATGAAAAGGGAAAAGCCTTGTCGTCATAGTCTTAGTATTTTTGTTTCTGGGTTCGAATTTGTGATATTGTAGATGTGCGAATTGATGACACCTTGTCTGTATATTTTGACCTTGTTCTTACCTAGGGAATATGATGTATTTTGTTGCTCTACAGAGAAATGGTTGGGTACAATATTTGCCTGCATTGTGCATGGATGGATTACGGGAATGAAGTAAAATCATAGAAAGATGAGTAATAGAATACTTATTTTTGGTGCTTTTTTGTTCAATTGTTAAAGGGTAAATAACAGAAGGAATGAAGGATAAGACAACATGATAATATGGTGAATTGGTGATCAATTACTCCGTATCGAGTAAAACGACAAACTTTGGGCCAATTTAATTTAACAAATTTTTATTTAGTTTGTTTTTATAATAAAATTGAATCCGTAAGGATGATTTTTTTTAATAGAATTGGAATTGTTATTAAAAAAAAACTGTATTGAAAATTCCCGGTTTGATCTATTCTTGTTTTGTTTAGATTTGATCTGGTCCAAATTTGTCTGGTTTGATCTAGTAGATGTTTGATCTATGTTTTTTATAATTCTCGGAGTTTGATATGGTTTGTTTAAATTTTGTCTCATTTGACATTAGATTGAAATTTATCTAACTAAAAGCATTCTAATATCTAAGTTTTTAGATTTTTTTATTTATGATGTATTATTTAGAATAGCTATCAAACTATGTTATTGGGGATTATATTTTGATTTGTATATAAAAGAGATCCGATATGCTCCTCCAAAGTCCAAATTATGTTCTTAGGATATTTTCCCATGGATTGAAATTTTAATCACGATCTGATCTGATCTGCTTACATATAAATGCTTCTTATTTGTGTATTTTATAATTGTTGATATCTAGTCTATCTGTCTATATTGGTTTGCTGTGTTCTGATTCGTTTTGGTCTGATTTAGCTGGAACCCGTCCAAGGAAGCAAAGTTAGCAAACCATTCTTGAAGGAGTATTATTTCTTAGGTAATAATATCGAAATTTCATTCATTGACGTAATCCTATTACACAATCGATTTAAAAATATTGACAAAAAACGTTCTAATTGACATCTTCATGAGAAAGATTATTATTTGAGAAATCACATAGGTGTACTATTTGAGAGATTGAAAGTGTGATTTTTACATTAATAATTTTCAGCTTAATGATGAAGTCAATTTTTTATTGAATAATTAATTCATGTTTTCTATTAAGTGTTAAGTAAATACGGAGTATGATTTAATGATTGAACGATTAAGTCAGATTCTCATTCATAAAATTCAAAACAAACATCCTCTAAATATTTAATTGCGTAGACCGAGGTACATTAGAGGTGGACTCGGGCCGGGTGGCCCGACCCTGAACCGGCCCGGGACCGGTACTATTCCGGTCCGGCCCGGCCCGGTGACCCGGTCAGGGACCAGTCCGGGTAGGCCTGACCCGGTGGTTTTACGGTGTGGGCTCGGGTCCGCCAAATGATGAACCGGCCCGGCCGGGCCTTTTTTTTCATTTTTTTTCAGTGTTGGGCGGGGTGTTTTGGGCCATTTGGGAGGGTGAGGGGGGGGTGGGGGTGAGGGGGGGGGGGTATTAGGGGATTAATTAGAAAAAAATAGGAAGTGGCCTGAGGCCCGACCCGGCCCGAATCCGGTGACTACCCGGGCCGGTCCCGGGCCCAACTATTCTAAACCGGCGGCCCGCCCGGGCCTAGGCCCGGCCCGGACCCGGCCCGGCCTGAGTCCACCCATAGTACATAGTAGTAGTTTTTACCTTTATCCGTGCTCATAATGATTACGAAACAAGGCTAAATATTTATTTTAAATATTTTGTAGTCTCTACAAATATAGCGTTTCTTGTATTGCACCCTTATACATTTTTTTGTTTGTTTTTAATTTGAATAATTTATTCTTAGTTTGAATAATTTATTCTTCTTGTTTCTGTAGTTTCTAATCAATCATAACAAATATCTTTATTTTGACTAGGAAAATTTCTAACTAATATTTTTTTTTTCATTCTATGACACTCATTCAAAAAACAAGTACTTCTAATTTATTAGAGGATTGTTATTTTTTTTAAATATGATTAATTAATTTTACATTGTTTTAGAGATAGATAAAAAAACACATATCACTAGAATAAAAATAAGAAAGATATTTTACATTAAATCTAAAATAAATTGTGTCACACTTGCTGGACTCAAAATCTCTTTAAACGTTTTCTAGATACAATTTTATATGTGGATACAGTCATTTCTGCTAAAGAATGGTCCGTGCCACCCAAATTATATGTATATGTACACAGATAAAGGGTAAGAAATACTACGTATTTGGTATTTACTACACAAAGAAGTATTCAAATCGTATTTAAGCTTATTTTTCAATAATTTATGCCATTGTTGTAAAATCCTGGAAATGACAAGTGTGAATTGTTCATCCTTGTCATCAATCCAGAAATTATATTTGATCCTTGTAACCTAGTTAGAACAGATGGCTCAAATTGTTATTGTCACCAAATCCGTAGATTCATCCCTTAAGTGACTAATCATCAAGTTCAAACAGTATAAATAGGAGCTTGATGAGGCATTGTAAATTAATTCAGAAATTTAGAAATTCTCAGATATTAAGAAGAAGATATTTAGAGCTTTTATTAATATATCTATCTCTCAAATTTAGTCTTCATCTTCTTCATTTTTACAACACGTTATCAGCATGAATCTGCTCAAAGCTCTTCAAGAAATCATCTCCTGCAGGTATTAACATTAATATCTATTATTCTTTTAAACCAGAAAATTATTCTGAATTTTATCATATATGAATAGAAAATATAGATAACATACCTTTCCATGATTGATTTCTTCCATCAATTTTGATAAAGCTCTAGTAGGAACGGAGGAAATTGACTCATCTACGTAAGTTGTAGTACTTCACATCCCATAATAATGAGACTCCGTAAGGAAGAACAAGTAAAAAAAAGGAATGGTAAGAGGAATAGGTGAGAAATAGAACGGCCAGGTGCAAGGGTGATATGTGAGATAATATACTGTGGCATGTGTAAATATAACAAAGTGACATGCATGGGTACTTCTACAACAATGTTAGTCACGGAGTAATTTTAGACAACGGTGCTCAGTCTCAACATGTGCTATCAAACCAAGAAACTGCATTTTTTTTTGTTTTCTTTAATCACGGGTCTGCATTATAGTGAACACAAACAAAATTGATTGTTTTGTTTCTTGAGTCTTGATTGTCAGAAGTAAAGATCAGTCTTCTAGGTGGCAGGCACCTACATATATACGTACAAAAGGATACATCATCAGTTTAAATAACTAAAACAAATTTTTATGGTTGTATGGTTCGTAATTACCATAAATAATTAAAAGGAAAATGTTTATACTTATAGTCCAATTTGTGTGTGTATATATATATATATATATATATATATATATATATATATATATATATATATATATATATATATATATATATATATATATATATATATATATATATATATATATATATATATACACACACACACACACACACACACACTTCGTATATGAAGGGTTACGATAGTAATATGCATAATTTTATACGGTATAAAATTAACTAATTATCTGGATGTAGTTTATGGCATCTTATTTGTTGTTATTTTATTTGCTTAATTTTATATGGTATAAAATTTTGAATACAGAGTATGTTATTTCATGTACTCTAGAGTATTACCGATTATATATAAATTTTACTAAATTTAACGTAACTAAATTTTGTAGTTATATAATGGCCAACATAAGCAAAAGAGAATTCGATGTTCTTGATCTATCCGGCCAAAAATACCTGGAATGGAAAGTTGATGCTTTAGCACATTTGAAGGCTAATGGTATCGAAAACACTATTGAGGCTATTAATCAATCATCTTCCCAAGATAAAGCGAAAGCCATAATTTTTCTCCGTCACCATCTCCATGAAAGTCTCAAATCTGAATATCTTTTGGTTGATGACCCAAAAGAATTATGGGACAATTTACAAGAGAGGTATGGCCACCAACAAAAGGTACTTTTACCAAAAGCTCAGTATGACTGGATCAATTTAAGATTCCAGGACTTTAAATCTATCAGTGACTATAATTCTGCTATGTTCCAAATAACATCCAAATTAAAGTTATGTGGACAAAAAGTCACTGACGCTGATATGTTGGAGAAAACCTTTTCTACTATGCATATCTCTAATATGCTGCTACAACAGCAATATAGAGAAAAGGGTTTTAAAAAATACTCTGACTTAATATCAGTATTATTGGTAGCTGAGCAAAACAATGACCTTTTGATGAAAAACCACAATTTGAGACCCACCGGTTCTAGTCCTTCGATTTATGGTCCATCTGGCCATAATTTAGCCACTGAATCAAATGCAACACACAGTGGCAGTAGAAGGCATTTTAAACGTGGGCATTTTAGTGGTCATAATAACAAGTCTTACAGAGGATATAAACGGGTCAAAAGACCGAATTACAAGGGCAAGGGCAAACAAAAAGCTCATCAAATAAATCGCCCTACAAAAACCTCGGTAAAGACGACTTGTTATAAATGTGGCATGACGGGGCATTGGGCTAATAAATGTCGCACGGCTAAACATCTGGTGGAGTTATTTCAATCTTCCATGAATTTGAACAAAGGCAATAATATGGAAGCTAATTATGTCAATGACACAACTCCATCTCTGCCAAAATTTGACGTGTCTGATTTTTTCGCGGATGATGCCATTATGGATGATGCTTTTGCCTTAAACCAAAATGTTACTAAATAAAATAGTAGACTCCTCATGTTGTACAATACTACAATACTAGTTTTATGTACTTTTTCTTTCTTCCCCTTTTTATTTTGTTTTTAATTAAATATGTATAATGTATGTACTCTTATGTTAAATAAAATGCATAATTTGTGATCAAGCTAATGTTTATTTACACATTTTGAAGATATGGATCACTCAAATGATAAAGAGCTATGTCTGATAGACAGCGCCACAACGCACACCATTTTGAGAAATAAAATATATTTCTCTCAAATGACTTTAGTTGAGGCTAAAGTCAATACCATATCAGGTGTTGCGAAGCTCATTGAAGGCTCTGGGAAAGCATATGTGATGCTACCTAATGGGACAAAAATAATTATAAATGACGCTTTATACTCCAGCAAATCGCGGAGAAATTTATTGAGCTTTAAAGATATGCGTCAAAATGGTTATCACATAGAAACCATGAATGAAAACCAAAAGGAATATATTTTTCTTACAACAACTAAATCTGGCACTAAATATATTTGTGAAAAAATGCCAGCATATTCCTCAGGACTATATTTCACATATATTAGTCCATTTGAAATAAATTTGGTTTCTAACACAAAGTTAGATGATCAGAAAACATTCATGTTGTGGCATGACCGTTTAGGTCACCCAGGCCAAGTAATGATGCATAAAATCATTAAGACCTCACTTGGACACCCATTAAAGAATATCAGGGTTCCATTATCAAGTGATTTTCCTTGTAAGGCCTGTTCTCTTGGCAAAATGATCATCAGGCCTTCAATGAACAAAATTGCAACTGAATCACCTGCATTTTTAGAGAGGATTCAAGGAGATATTTGTGGGCCGATAGCCCCACCATGTGGACCATTTCGATATTTCATGGTGTTGATTGATGCTTCAACACGTTGGTCACATGTTAGTCTTTTATCGACTAGAAATTTAGCATTTGCTAAACTCCTTGCTCAAATCATACGATTAAGAGCTCATTTTCCGGACCATTCTATAAAGAGAATCCGACTTGACAATGCAGGAGAATTTACATCACAATCATTTAACGACTATTGTATGTCGATTGGGATTGATGTGGAGCATCCTGTTGCTCATGTTCATACACAAAATGGTCTTGCTGAATCTTTGATTAAACGATTACAATTAATCGCCAGACCATTATCAATGAAGTGTTATTTACCTTCATCAGCTTGGGGACATGCTATTTTACATGCAGCAAATTTAATTCGGCTTAGACCGACTGCGTATCATGAATATTCTCCAATGCAATTAGTTACTGGACAAGAGCCAAACTTAGCACACATTAAAATATTTGGTTGTGCTGTTTATGTTCCGATTGCTCCACCTTATCGTACAAAAATGGGTCCTCAAAGAAGGTTGGGAATTTATGTTGGATTTGAATCTCCCTCAATAATCAAATATCTTGAACCGATGACTGGTGACTTATTCACCGCACGGTTTGCTGACTGTCATTTCAATGAGACAGTATTCCCAACCTTAGGGGGAGAAACTAATAAATCGAACCCAAGTACGAAAGAAATAACATGGAATGCAACAGGATTATCACATCTTGACTCAAAATCAAATATATGTGAGCAAGAGGTGCAAAAGATAATCCATTTACAAAATTTTGCAAATCAGTTGCCTGATGCATTCACAGACACAAAGAAAGTGACAAAGTCACATATTCCTGCCATGAATGCCCCTGCCAGAATCGAAATCCCAACAGAGAATTCTGAAAAATCTTTTGCAAATGATTCTTCTATACGCAAAAAGCGTGGCAGGCCACTTGGATCGAAAGATATAAAACCAAGAAAAACTAAAAGGCAGGAATCGATCTGTGATGCCAAAGATGTTCATCCTTCTGAACAAGAAAATGAACAATTTGAAAATATTGGCATAGAAAATGATATTGACAAAACGAATATCTCAAATGATGATCCAACTTCCTTAAATGAGGAAGATATTCCAGATAATGATAGAAATGTTGATAATTATGAAATTTCAATAAACTACGTTTCTACTGGAATGCAATGGAATCGTAAAGATATTGATATTAATGAGATATTTGTCTATGCCGTTGCCACAAATGTTATGAATGAAAACAATGACAATGAGCCAACATCAATAGAAGAATGTCGGAAACGACATGATTGGCCAAAATGGAATGATGCAATTCAGGCTGAACTGAAATCACTTGAAAAACGTGATGTTTTTGGACCGATAGTCCCTACGCCAAAAGGCGTAAAACCAGTAGGCTTTAAGTGGGTATTTGTGCGTAAACGCAATGAGAAAAATGAAATTGTAAGATATAAAGCCCGACTTGTTGCCCAAGGGTTTTCTCAAATGCCGGGAATTGATTATGAAGAAACCTATTCTCCAGTAGTTAATGCAACTACATTAAAGTTTCTCATCGGCATGTCTGTTTTTGAAAGGCTGCAAATGCGCCTAATGGATGTAGTAACTGCATATTTATACGGTTCACTCGATACAGACATTTATATGAAAGTTCCTGGAGGATTTAAAATGCCTGAAGCTTATAGCTCGAAACCTCGAGAAATGTTTTCCATTAAACTACAAAAGTCATTGTATGGACTAAAATAATCTGGACGAATGTGGTATAATCGTCTCAGTGAATACCTTCTTAAGGAAGGATATAAGAATGATCCAATTAGTCCATGTGTTTTCATACGGCGATTAAATTCGGGATTTGCCATAATTGCAGTATATGTTGATGACTTAAATATTATTGGAACTCCCGATGAGATTGAAAATACTGCAAAATATCTTATGAAAGAATTTGAAATGAAAGATCTAGGGAGAACCAAATTTTGTCTCGGACTTCAAATTGAGCATTTGAAGAATGGAATTTTCATCCATCAATCCAATTACACCGAGAAAGTTTTGAAGAGATTCTATATGGACAAAGCTCATCCTTTGACTTCACCAATGATGATTCGATCTCTCAACATACACGATGATCCATTCCGTCCCCGAGAAGATGATGAAGAAATACTCGGTCCCGAAGTACCATATCTGAGTGCTATTGGAGCTTTAATGTATTTAGCTAATAATACTAGACCAGATATTGCATTCTCCGTAAATTTATTAGCTAGGTACAGTTCATGCCCAACAAGACGTCATTGGAACGGGATCAAGCACATATTCCGTTATCTTCGTGGTACAATTGATCTTGGCTTATTCTACCACAAAGATGAAAAAGCTGCTTTAATCGGATATGCAGACGCTGGATACTTATCAGATCCTCAAAAGGCGAAATCACAAACCGGGTACGTATTTACTTATGGTAACACCGCAATCTCATGGAGATCGATGAAGCAGACATTGACAGCTACATCGTCAAATCATTCTGAGTTAATTGCACTATATGAAACCGGAAGAGAATGTGTGTGGCTACGATCTATGATTCAACACATCCAAAATGAATGCGGTATGAAGTCTATTACTTGTCATCCTACTGTGATCTACGAAGACAACACTGCGTGCATAGCTCAGATTAAAGAAGGCTACATCAAAGGAGACAGAACAAAACACATATCACCAAAGTTCTTCTCTACTCATGATCTCGAGAAAGAAGGGACGATCAACATTCAACAAATCAGATCCAGTGAAAATCCAGCCGATCTCTTCACCAAATCTTTACCCCCGAAGAAGTTCATGGAACTTGTACAGAAAATCGGCATGCGACGTCTTCATAATTTATACTAAATTCAGGGGGAGTATTTGAATGCACTGCACTCTTTTTCCCTTCATCAGATTTTTATCCCACTGGGTTTTTTCCTGATAAGGTTTTTTAACGAGACAGTACATCCAAATACAACGACATTATAAGTCGTAATTTTTACCCCTTAATTTTCACAATAAGTTTTTTTAAAATAATAGACAACTATTCAAGGATGAACATTCAAGGGGAAGTGTTGTAAAATCCTGGAAATGACAAGTGTGAATTGTTCATCCTTGTCATCAATCCAGAAATTATATTTGATCCTTGTAACCTAGTTAGAACAGATGGCTCAAATTGTTATTGCCACCAAATCTGTAGATTCATCCCTTAAGTGACTAATCATCAAGTTCAAACAGTATAAATAGGAGCTTGATGAGGCATTGTAAATTAATTCAGAAATTTAGAAATTCTCAGATATTAAGAAGAAGATATTTAGAGCTTTTATTAATATATCTATCTCCAAATTTAGTCCTCATCTTCTTCATTTTTACAACAGCCATTTATTTATTCTTATTTCCATCTAGCTCAACTCATGTGAGCTTACTCGGACTAATTTCGCCCATAGCTCTCTCCACCAAGAATCTAGTCTACTCAGAATTACAAAAATCTGAAGTATTCCGTGCACGAATCGATCATTAACGCATAAAAGAAATGATATTTTAGCAGTGTCCTGATTCCAGGCTGAAAGAGGGAGAGAAGCTTGCGTTATCAACGCTACCTTCCTTTGGCACCGGCGCTGTTAGCCGGAATATATCAAATCGCTATCGGTTTTATTAGTGTTTTAGATCACCACTTATGCAATAGCAGTCATTTCCCGATCACCGATCTCTTCAATTCCGTCTGATTCCCGAAAACGAGATAACAATTAGGCCCAATGGGACAAGCTTTCCGCAAGCTCTTCGACACCTTCTTCTGCAACAGCGAGATGAGGGTACGCTCTTTTAAACTACTAGCTCGTCTTCCTTACGCATTCTATTCACTTTACATTTGATTTTTGAGCTATCTCTATCTCATGATTTGCAACTGAAATGCTTCCTAGTGCTGGTCATTACTTGTCAACTTTATTAAATTCCCAACTTGGAGCTGTTTCACGGATGTTGTTATTTACTTCCACTTTGTCTAATACTCTCCTAATGTTTATTATAAGGTCTAGGCGTCTAGCTGAAGATTTATTGGTGTTATTTTAATCTGCGTGTGTTTATGTGTAATTATTTTATTACGGAGTATTTATTATAAGCAATTTATTCCTGAATTTAATGGAAGTGTTTATTAGTTCCCGCTCATCCTATGAACATCTGCTTGTACAGTATGTAGTCTATTGAAGTTTGTAGGGTAGCATTAAATAGTTACAGCACGCTGTGGGAGATAGGAGTTATGTGTGTTTCCAACATATGCCCCTATTCCCTAGTTTGTGATCGGTTCTTTATTACATCTATTCATACAGGTTGTAATGCTAGGGCTTGATGCAGCTGGAAAAACTACTATACTCTATAAGCTACACATAGGAGAAGTTCTATCAACAGTTCCCACCATTGGTTAGTCAATTCTATGTATGACTAAGGACCAGTAGAAGCAATTATTCTTCCGTTCTTTACTCCTTTGGACTTGTAGGAGAGACCATATTATATTGCAAAGAATTATGTTGAGTTTTACTTTTTATTTTGGTACCACATCCCTATTTTTATCTACCTTTTTACTTTGCAAAGTTTTTAATGAAGCAAACACTGTCACTTTGAGATTTGTTTGGAAAAGACAGAAACAATATTAACCACACTATCATGGAATCCTTACCTAAGGTAAAAACAAAAATGGATAGAAATGGAAAGTGGTAATAAAAAGGGGCAGAATGAGTGACTATCAACTTTGCAATTGTATAAAGTATAAACTATGGTTTCTAACTTTTCTGTTCTGATTTTGCTTACTTTCTTTTTCTGTTATGCTACGTTATCGTCCTAGATCTGATGTATCCACATGGATTAGAGGTGTTAAATTTCACAATGATTAGTTGAAGGAAGTGAAGGGGGGAAGATTGTGGAAAACTAGATGGTTTCTCTTGTGAAGAACATTTAGGGTCCATCTCACAGTCAATAAAATTATTTTGGATGTTTTTTCAAACTCATTTTATTTACTTATTTAAATAAAATTTTCCATAGATAGGAGTAAAACATAACACACCTCCTCAAATAGGACCACCATTTCATTTTCCTTTGCGTTTTTCAAGGTAAAGGAAAACATTGAAAAACGTAACAGTTTAAAGTTTCTATAGAGTGGAAAGCTGAAGGTTAAGCTTTCCATTGCTTGATAGAGCCAACTAAGGGATGCTTCTTAAACTTTTGCTAGTAAGTTTGCATTTAACTTTTTCCAGATAGATAGTACTACTAGAAGGTAAAGCTTGACAATATTTGATATCACTAAAAGCAAGGCATTCTTGATTTTTTTTCCTAATAAGTTTATGAGCATTTTAGTACTTGATGGAATGGAAGGGTGAAAGGAAATCCATGTTAGTATGTTACGTACCTATGCCAACTTAATTCGGAATTAAAGGTCTTAAGTATAATAATACTATCATTTACTACAGTGAGACCAACCTCTTGAAACTTATTGCTATGCCTTGTTGTTAGTAAAATTGTAATGCATCACACAGAATGCATACTATATATACAGCAAGAAAAGGTGATACAGTTTTGCTGAAAACAGGTTTCAATGTGGAAAAGGTGCAGTATAAGAATGTGATTTTCACTGTCTGGGATGTTGGTGGACAAGAGAAGTTACGGCCTCTCTGGAGGCATTACTTCAACAATACAGATGGACTGGTAATTTTTGTTCAGATTTTGACATCATAGGATATCATTATGTCTGTGTTACATCCTTTGTTAGGCTTTGGCTGTGTTTTTTCTTCATGTATTATTATTGGTCCTTCACACACTTTCTAAAATTTTATTACTCCCTCCGTCCCTAAAAGTATCTTTTTTCTAGACTTATTTTTTCCCAAAAAGGGTACTATTTCATCAAATAAGAGTTAATTTTGTGAATGTTAATGTAACTTTTCCAAAAAAAAGTGTTCTAACCAAATTAAAGCATGTTAAATGTGTAGTTGAACCACAATCAAATTTTAAAATATACCTCATCCCTTTCTATCTCATCATTAGCGAAATCAATACACATTATTTTTTCCCATAAACCTCTCTTATACTATTTAGTTTATTCATTAGGAACATAGATGGGTGGGTGGCTTTTAGTGATGGTATTTTACGTAATTTTTTTTATGAATATACCCCCATGTCATCCGGAAACAGTCTCTCTGTGCTTTAGTACAGGGGTAAGACTGCGTACATCCAACCCCTCCTTACCCCACCGTAGGTGGGAGTCTTTGCGGCACTGGGGTAAATGAAAATGAAATGAATATACCCCCATGTACGGTATAACTGTGAGGTTTGGATTGTTAAGTTACAAGAGTTTGTTTTACCAAACGGTTAAAAGATGTAAAGTACCCCCATGTACATTTTCTTAAACATGGCCTTTTTTTTGGGGGGGGGGGGGGGGGAGTAATATGGTGACATCTGTCTCTTAAATTTCTTGTTAACTTAATGTAGATATATGTTGTTGACTCTTTGGACCGAGAGAGGATTGGAAGGGCCAAAGAAGAGTTTCAGGTTGTATGTGTAAGCAGTAGTACTGTGTCTTTGTGATTCCATGTGCTTCCTTTTTGGCTTACTCTTTCAAATGTGCTTTATTTTTTCAGGCCATTATCAAAGATCCTTTTATGCTTAATGCAGTAATTTTAGTTTTTGCGAACAAACAGGACATGGTACGTTATACATTGCAAGATTATCAATAATCTCTCAAGTTCGACTTAATTCATTACCTTTGCTTCTACAAAATGCTGATTTGCTTTTTTGGCTTCCTCATACGTATCTTCAGCTACCATTTGTAGCTTTTAGGGTTGCCCCATTTTTTTCTTTCCTGTACAGATTTTTTTTAATAGGCAACCTCCTATTCAATACTACCTCCGTTCTCTTTTAATTGCAACATTGGATTTTTTGCACTATTCACATATTCTACTTTGACTATATTTTACTAATTAATGTCTTATAAATTAAATTTTTTAATAATATTTTTAAATTCTTCTCATTCTAAATTTTCAAAATATGATTTTTTTAAATTTTTTACTAATAAGGAAATGAAAGATATTAATGGTCAAACTTGTGCGTTGTCAAACGTGAAATGTTGACTGTTGCAATTAAAAGGGAACGGAGGAAGTATATAGCTATGACTCCTTTTATCTTAAAAAACTTCTAACTCTGTCCCATATTTTTCTTACGTCTCCCTAGTAATCTAACTTTGTTTAGCAATTAAAGTTTACACATTTAGAAACTACACAAAATATTCTAATTAACCACAAAAGGCTGAATTTGGTTGGACACATCGAACAACAAAATGATAAAAAAATGGAGGGAGTGCTGTTTGAAAGAAATTTCTAGGCCTGGCCCCAAAGACAGAAGCTAGAGTATCCAAAAGTAGTTGAAATATTTATACCTGTAAAGCCTGCAAGCTGTCTATCATTATGAATAAATTCAAAGTGAATGTTCATTGTAGATTTAGGATACCAATATGTATATCAACAGCTTCATCGTTATCGACTATGTATCCATCGGGTTTGTCCATCACTTATGATGTTCTATGGTGCGGATATTTTACAATATCAACTTTGCAACTATAGATGATTATAACAATTGCAATTTCCGACGCGATTTTCACTATGGGTCATCCAGAAACAGAGGTAAGGTTGCGTACATCCGACCCCCTTACTGCACCGTAGGTGGGCCTTTGCGGCACTGGGGTAGTGATGATGATGATGAGATGATTATGTAGAAAAATGTAGCATATACATGTTATTTTATTATGTGTACATCCGGAACTGTATAGATAGGAATTAGAGTTGATTTAGGACTCTAACTCTTAGATCAGCTCGCAGTGTAGATAAGAATAGATAGATCCTAATATTTAGGATCTGTAACAAACCTTAGTTTATCTGTAATCTTGTATATATATCATTGCCGGATGGCTCAATAATACATGGAAGATTAATTCTTCAAACCTACATGGTATCAGAGCCTCGGTTTAAACAATGGTAGAAACCAGTGAGGCTGATTCCTCACACACTATCAACCCTAACTCCCAAATTAGCTCTATGACAAATTACCAATCTCCTATTCATTCATCTATGATAATCACTAGTCATAGATTGAATGGAACAAACTATCTGGAGTGGTCTCAATCTGTCAGACTTGCAATTGATGAGAGGGGAAAGCTGGGGTACATCACAGGAGAAATCCAACCAAAACTATCTGCAGAAGAAGGGTACAGTACATGGAGGTCAGAGAATTCACTCATAACAGCTTGGCTTCTCAACTCCATGGAGCCCTTAATTGCCAAACCTCATATGTTTATGAAAACTGCAAAGGAGGTATGTGATTCTATTAAGTAAACTTATTCAGATCTTGAGAACTCTTCTCAAATTTTTGAACTCAAAACCAAACTGTGGCAATCTAAACAAGGAAATAGGGATATTATTTCATACTACAATGAAATGGTATCTCTATGGCAAGAATTAGATCAATGCTATGATGATGAAGAGTGGGAGAGTGCTAAGGATCTGGCCAGACATAAGAAAAAAGAAGAGAATGATAGAGTCTATATGTTTCTAGCAGGGATCAATAGGGACCTGGATGAGGTTAAAGGGAGGATACTTGGAAAAAAACCTCTACCCTCTATCAGGGAGGTATTTTCTGAAATCAGGATGGAGGATAGCAGGAAGAAGGTCATGTACAACACCCCAGTACCTAATGAGGAACCTGGGGAATCTTCAGCTTTGGTGGCCATAAGTGATGACAACAAGAAAAAACCTTGGTGTGATCACTGCAAGAAACTGTGGCACACAAGGGATACATGCTGGAAACTCCATGGAAAACCACCAGGAGCTGGGAAGAAGAAAGTAGAAAGGGCCCTACAAACTACTGTGACTGAGACTCAACAAGAGGCAGGAGTTGAACCTAAACAGCTACCATTCACTCAGGAACAGATAGAGTACCTACTCAAATTCATACCCACCCAGAAAATCTCCAACCAAGAAAACCCTACCTGTTCTTTTTCCCAAAATGGTAAAATAACATCATATTTTTGTTCTGAAAAACCTAAAAACACCTGGGTCATTGACTCAGGTGCAACAGACCACATGACCTACATTCCAAAGTTTTTTTCTTCTTATCAACCTTGTGCAGGAGATAAGAAAGTTAGAGTTGCAGATGGCTCTTTTTCAGCCATAGCAGGGATGGGAAATATTAAAATTTCCTCATCCATTAACCTTTCCAAAGTCTTACATGTTCCTAAACTTTCCTGCAATCTTATCTCTATTAGCAAAATTACTAAAGATCTTCAGTGTTGTGTAAAATTTTTCCCCTCTTATTGCATTTTTCAGGATCTGGCATCAGGGAAGATGATTGGCAGTGCTAGAGAGGAGGATGGCCTCTATATTTTTGATGAAGGAACACAATTGAATAAACAAGGTCAAGAAAAAACTTGTTTGCAAACTGTTTTCTTTCCTTGTAATAATGAAGTGTATTTAATGCACTATAGATTAGGTCACCCAAGTTTTTCCTATCTGAAAATGTTGTTTCCTAAGTTATTTCTTAATAAAAATCCTTCATCATTTCATTGTGATATGTGTGCACTTGCCAAACATCATAGGAGTTCTTACATCCCTCATAGTTACAAACCAACTAGTCCTTTCACTATTGTACACAGTGATATCTGGGGTGCATCTAGAGTTTCAACTCTGAAAGGAAAAAGGTGGTTTGTAACTATCATAGATGATCACACAAGGGTCACATGGGTGTTTTTACTTAAAGAAAAATCTTAGATTGAAGAGGTGTTCAAACAATTTTACTCAATGATCCAAACTCAATTCAACACTAATATCAAAATTGTGAGAAGTGATAATGGACTTGAGTACTTTTCTAAGAAGCTAAATACTTTTTTTGCTGAAAAAGGGATTATTCATCAAAGTTCCTGTGTAAATACACCTGCTCAGAATGGAATAGCTGAGAGGAAAAATAGACATTTACTTGAAGTCACTCGTGCAATTATGCTTTCTGCTAAAATTCCAAAATATTTATGGGGAGAAGCTGTTTTACATGCTACCTATCTAATTAATAGGATGCCATCAAAAACTCTAGGATTCAAAACTCCTATTGATACTCTTCAAGCTAGTTTTCCTGAAACTAGACTAATTAATTCTCTTCCCATAAAAATTTTTGGGTGCACAGTTTTTATTCCCAATCCTGACATAACTGCAAGTAAATTTGACCCTAGTGGAAAAAAATGTGTTTTCTTAGGACTCTCTTCAACTCAGAAAGGCTATAAATGTTTTGACCCTATAACAAAAAAGATGTTTATAACTATGAACACTGTTTTTGTAGAAGATCAACCTTTTTTTAGTACTCATCTTCAGGGGGAGATTCCTAATGAAGATGGTAATAATGTATCACATATCCATGAAAAACTAGAACCTCTTGACATTAATCTAGATGCACAGTATAATAGACAGTTAGATGCACTAGAAAATAGTCAAGAGTCAAAAGAAAATGGAATTTTTTTTTCTGAAACAAGGAAAGATGATGAACAGCAGACAAGTAAGTTTTTTGGCAAGGTTTATGAAAGGAGAGTTCCAAATCACAGAATAGAGGACATCCCTGATCCTGCCACTGTCCATGAATCTGACTCAATGCCAGAAAATGACAAAGGTAATAATTTCAGTGATCTAAATCTACCCATTGCTCTCAGAAAAGAAAAAAGGTCATGTGTTAAATACCCTATCTCAAACTATCTGTCCTATTCTCAGTTATCTACATCATTTGCAGCTTTTACCTCTAGCCTCTCTACTGTTTCTATTCCCTTAACCATACAGGAAGCCCTATCTATACCTGAGTGGAAGAAGGCTGTTTTAGAAGAAATGAATGCCCTTGAAAAGAATCAGACATGGCAGACTGTAGAGGTACCCAAAAACAAACCAAGGGTTGGATGCAAATGGGTGTTTACCCCTAAATTCAAGGCAGATGGTGCACTTGAAAGATATAAGGCCAGATTGGTTGCCAAAGGATACACACAAACCTATGACATAGATTATACAGAAACTTTTGCACCAGTTGCAAAGTTAAATACTATAAGGATCCTACTATCTCTAGCTACTAACCTAGACTGGCCCCTTCAACAGTTAGATGTGAAGAATGCTTTCCTAAATGGGAAGCTTGAAGAGGAAGTATACATGAGCCCCCCTCCTGGGTTTGAGGAACAATATGGCTCAAAGGTGTGCAAGCTAGAGAAAGCCTTATATGGGTTTAAACAGTCCCCAAGGGCTTGGTTTGAAAGGTTTACTCAATTCATAAAGAAGCATGGATTCAAGCAAGCCCAAGCAGACCATACACTATTCATGAAATTCTCCATTAAGGGAGAAATTGTAGTACTAATTGTTTATGTGGATGATATAATTCTTACAGGAAACTATTGTGAAGAGATTGAAGACCTGAAGAAGAAGCTTGCTCAGGAATTTGAAATCAAAGACCTGGGAGAGTTGAAGTATTTTCTTGGCATGGAGATAGCCAGATCAAAGAAGGGAATTGTGGTATCCCAAAGGAAGTATGTACTAGACCTACTTCATGAAACAGGTATGAGTGCCTGCAGACCAATAGATACTCCAATTGACCCTAATCAAAAGTTAGGAAATGTCAAGGAAGGAGTACCAGTTAATATTCACCAATATCAAAGATTGGTGGGAAGGTTGATTTATCTGGCACATACAAGGCCAGATATTGCCTTTGCAGTTAGTATGGTTAGTCAGTTCATGCATAATCCATTCCAAGAACATCTAGATGCTACCTACAGGATCCTAAGATATTTGAAAAGCTGTCCAGGAAAAGGATTATTTTTTAAAAGAAGTGACAATAGAAGTGTAGAAGCCTTTACAGATGCAGATTATGGTGGTTCAATAACTGATAGAAGGTCTACATCTGGGTATTGTACTTATGTATGGGGGAATCTGGTGACTTGGAGGAGTAAGAAGCAGAATGTTGTTGCCAGAAGTAGTGCAGAATCTGAATTTAGATCTATGGCTAATGGAATCTGTGAACTACTTTGGATCAAGAGAATGATGACAGAGTTGAATATGGAAATGGACCTACCTATGAAGTTATATTGTGACAATAAAGCAGCCATTAATATTGCTCACAATCCTGTGCTACATGATCGTACTAAACATATTGAGGTGGACAGGCATTTTATCAAAGAGAAGATTGAAGCTGGAATTGTGTGCACACCATTTATATCTACTAAAGAGCAGACAACTGACATCTTTACAAAGGGGCTATTTAAACCAGTATTTGAATTTCTTATAAACAAGTTGGGAATGTATGATATATACTTACCAACTTGAGGGGGAGTGTAGAAAAATGTAGCATATACATGTTATAGATAGGAACTGTATAGATAGGAATTAGAGTTGATTTAGGACTCTAACTCTTAGATTAGCTCGCAGTGTAGATAAGAATAGATAGATCCTAAATATATATGTGTAACAAACCTTAGTTTATCTGTGTAATCTTGTATATATATCATTGCCGGATGGCTCAATAATACATGGAAGATTAATTCTTCAAACCTACATATTATAACAATTGTTTCAACTGATTTTCGCGAGTACTGTTTTTCTTACAACTAAAAAAACTCAGGATGATGAAAATATTGGAATTCCATCTCATTTTCTTTCATTTGAGAACAGTGAAAGGAAATGAATCCGGGGTAAACTTTTGTCAGATTTTTTTTGCATCAATTTACAAGTGTCAAGTAAATTGAGACAATTAATTGATGCTATTAATTTTATGCCATTAAACATCCACATAGTTGGGCGTAAGGTGATGATGATGATGCTTGTGATTGGTTCAGAAAGGGGCGATGACACCCATGGAAGTATGTCAAGGCCTTGGACTGTATGACCTTAGGAACAGGAAATGGCATATACAAGGGACTTGTGCTTTAAAAGGGGAAGGACTTTACGAGGGTCTTGACTGGTTGTCAAGCACTCTGAAGGAGCACAAAGCTTCTGGCTTCTCCTCAGTAGGCGGCGGCACTTCAGCCTTTTGATTGTTCCAACTCTGTATGTAATTTGGCTTTTCTTATCTGAGATTTGATTGAATATAGGCTTTTGTTTTGTTTCGTTGTTTGAAGTCGTCAATTTTATATACCACCTTGGGCAGCAGGTTTAATAGAGGACTTCAAGTCTTCAATGCTTCCGTGACTACAAAAGAGAAAACCCTCTTCTTGTAATGCTGCAAAACTAAGATTCGAATTCTTTGTTGCTCCCAGCATTCTTAGTATTGAATGAAAATAGATGTTTAACTATGGTGTTTTGTATATTGGAGGAGAGGCCTTTTTATTGATACTTCAAAGTTCAAATGTGTGTAGAGTTTGGCAGTTGGATGAACTTTTGCACATTTCCCACAATCCCGCCCCCTCTAATATTGTAGGCATGGACCGGTTCCGGTTCAGGCCCGGTTTGGGCCTGGGCCCGGCCGGGCCTCGGTTCAAGAAGGGGAGGCCCGGAACCGGCCCGGGTAACCCCCGGGTCCGGGCCGGTCCGGGCCGGGCCTCGGTTCAATTTTTTTTTTTTGGCTTTTTCTAGTTAACCCCCAACCCTCCCCCTCACCCCCAAACCAACCCTAACCACCTCAAATGGCCCAAAATACCCAGCCCAACCCAAAAACTTAAAAAATTCAAAAAATAAATGGCCCGGCCCGGTCCTGAACCGGCCGGGCCGGTTCACCTTTTGAAGGGCCCGAGCCCGAACCGCCATCCCACCGGGCCGGTTGGCCCGAACTGGGCACCGGGCCGGGTCGGGCCCACACAGTAGCGGGCCGGTCCGGTTCTGGGCCGGATGGCCCGGCCCGAGTCCACCCCTACTCTATTACTATGATTAGTTGCTCCAGTTGCTAATATAACTACTTACAAATAAATAAATAAATTGCAAAATGTAATCATTCATCTCATAATTTTTTTTGCAGCTTTTGATCTTTTTATAATATAAATTCCCACTCAAAAATTAGTTGTTTAAGTAAAAAGTAATCACTTCCTTTTTTAATTCAAACCGTATGTGATTATTCTTTGACAAAAGTTTCTCTTTTGCAAGTATCAAAGGTTAGAAATTAAGTCGAACTAAAAAAGGATTTAGTAGATTAAATTACTCCATCTGTCCCGAAAAGGTTCATCAAATTAACTTTTCTTGGTCAATGACAATCAACTAGGGATGGACTAAAATGGCCCGGCCCGACCCGGAACCGACCCGACCCGGAACCGGCCCGTTACTGTTTGGGACCGGACCGGACCGGGACCGGTTGGCCGGTTCCGGGCTTTTAGCCCGTTTGGGCGGGTCGGGCGGGTCGGGCTCGGGCCCAACTTTTGGTGAACCGGCCCAGTTCATTTTTTTTTTCAATTTTTTTTTTTGCTTTTCTAGGTTGGGGTTGGGTGTTTTGGGGGGGTTTGGGGGTGGGGGTGAAGGGGGGGGGGGGGGTCAGGTGTTAATTAGAAACCCAAAAAAAAAAATTGAACTTGACCCGGGCCCGGCCCGGCCCGGTTAGGCCCGGACCCGGTATCAATCCGGGCCGGTTCTGGGTCCAACATTTTGCAAAAAAAGCCCGTCCGGGCCCGGAACCGGAACCGGACTGGCCCGGGTCCATCCCTACAATCAACTTTGACCATATATTTTTTAATACGGAATTATTTTTAATATGAAAATTGTATCAAAATGTTCCTTATTCAAAATATTTTCATAAAAATATAAAATTTATAAATTATATATAAATATAATAGTTAAAATCATTGTTCAAAGTTTTTCATCATTGACCAAGAAAAGTCAATATGATAAACCTTTTCGGAACGGAGGTAGTATAATTTTAGCAAGTTTGAGTATTGACTCATTTTGCATAGTCATTCATGTATATTATCATGAATGAGTAGAGTTCACCAAATGTAATGGGGATTTGGTGAACTCTACTCATTCATGATAATATGTTAAAGGAAAACATACCAAAGTTTTATTTTTCAGAATTATATATAAATGTCACTGCACGGTTACACCCGATATAATCGCAAAAAAAACTTATAACATTAATTCCAGCCCGGAAATAACATAACAAAAGGACTTCGAGTCCTTTTACTCTCAAAGTAAAAAGGATGCTGGAAACACTTCGTTTTTCAAACCGGATTTCTTATGGAATGTTCACTTTTTTATCATTTATTGGCTGGCTGGCTTCATCGTCAAGCCAACTGATTGTCAACTTGAGGAGTTGCAGAAGATTCTAACAAGACATAACAAACCGCCACATCATCATCCATTCTTGAAGGTTGTGTTTTTACTAGTTTTTCAGCCAAAATAGCATCAGCATCATCCATGTTAGTCTCTGGAGCATCATCATCTTGCTGCAAAAACTCAGACCTTCCATCAGTTTCTGCACCACCTTCATCTATGGACTCTTTTATCCCTTGATGAATCTGAATTTTAGCCTCTTCACCGTTAGAGCACGGAAACACTTCATTTTTTACATGAATATAATTATCACCTGCAAATTCATCTAATGCCTCTTTTACCCCTGCCCAACTGATCTCAAATTTAGCTTCTTCACCTTCAGGACATGGAAGCTCTTCCTTATTTAAATCATTTTCATTGTTACGTGCAAGTTCACCCAATGAGTCTTTTACCCCTTCCGAACTGATCTCAAATTTAGCTTCTTCATCCTCGGAGCAGGGAAGCCCTTCATTTTGTACCTCATAATTCTTATCACCTGGAAATTCATCCAAAGGTTCCCCCTCATCTGAACTCTCAGAGTGAATTTCTTCCTTCTTGGAGTATGAAATCCGTCCTCCATTGTCATGCTCAGACTCCTCCAGCGTCCCTGAGCTCTTATCCTTCTCATTCGTTGTTTGAAACTCTTCCAATGATGTTTCTTCATCAGAAGAAGCTTCAAATCTTGTTTTTGTGACACATTCATCTGAATCACGAGAAGTTTCTTTGGCCTCTGCTTCATCATCCTTGTGGCTAGTAAGTTTAGCCAATAGTGGCCCTTCCTCTACAATTTCAAGGTTGTCTTCCTCAGCAGCTGCATTTTTATCCTCAGTGCAAGAGCTTCCCTCGGCTTTTTTCTCATTCTCATCATTATCCAACTGCTTCGGTGGGACTAAGCCATCTTCCTCAGGATCACATATTTCTTCAGTTTTGGACTTATCATCTAAGTCAACAATCTGCCGTTGGCAGTCTTTACACCGTAGAGGGTCAGCAACATGAAGTTCACTGTAATAGTGCTCATTGATGGCCTCATAACATTCACTGTCGGATACTGCTTTAGAGGTGGTGTTGGCTTCACATTTTTTACAGATTTTGTTAGCATTGAAAGCAACAGAAAGGGCATGTGGTGAATCTTGCAAACCTAATTCAACATTATGAGATGAACCTTTCAAGTTCAAACATTCCTCACTATGTGATCCTTTGCCTGCAGATAAAACCTTTAAGATCTAATATATCTGTGAATTTAGAATTTTCAGGCCCAATATCCAACGAGCTGTCCTGAAGCTTCACAGCTTTGTCATCATTCGCATCTTCTTCTTCCTCCAACTTCGTAGATGCTAGTAACATGTCAAATGACATATCAAGCAATAAGAAAACACATCACTTATGTAGTATATTAGAATAAGTATTGAACAGAATTTATAAGATGCCTAGTTTGTAAGCAGATTTGTATAGACATATATATTTATATTTGGCCGAGTCTAATGTTTCATCACCAATGATTATCATCCATCTTCACAGTGGGGCCGTACCCACAATGGAGATAATTAGTATTGAGGAAGCCATGGGGCTCTAATGGGGCATTGATGTAAGGAAACAGGGAAACCTAAAAGTTTACTTTGAAAAGTAGACATGAGAATAGTTCAAAATGATAATGTACGAAATTGACCATTATTTTCTAAGTTTTTTTCAGAGGTTTTAGTTGTATCCACTTCTAACTCCTTTCTTAACATTTTTAGATTCTCAGTTTCAACAAAGAATGCGCTATGATCTGTCGTACCTTTAGATGGTTTCCTATCCAAAAGCTCATCTAAGCACTGTTTGGAGTTCACTTCCGATCCTTCAAAAATAACAGTCTCTGACATTTGATCACGATGTTTGGTTTGTCCCTTCTCTCCTTTTGCAGCTAACCTTGCTGACCTGCGAACGCTGGAATATATTTGGCTAGCTGAAGTGTTCATCTCTCTCAGTTCCCCTTTTTTATTAGTCAGCAGAGTACTTGGTGTCTTGGGAAAATCACCATCCTTTCCTTCATCAGTACTACCCTTTACATTTCTAGCAATTCTTCTTCTCCCTGAGTAGAGAATGGCAAAATTTTCAGATCCATTTTTTACCTTCTGCCACGTTGGTGTCCTACCACAGGAGAGAGGGACATCTTGTGCGGTTATATCTGACTTCTGGGGCGACTCAACCGAGGAAATTCCACTTTCAGATTCCAATGGGTTCAGAAAATCTTCAATACCTTCAACCTGGAGAATGAATTAATGAAAACTCGGTAAAATCTCCTAAAATGTTAGGTGGAATAGAACGCCATACTTCCAGATTGAAAGTGCAGTGAGCCAAAATATTAAATCCAATTCTATAGTTCACGAAAAAGCTTCATCACATACTCTAAATAAAAATGAAATGAATTTTTTGGAATATCCTCACTCGATTGACATGTATGAATCTCTGATCGCAATTCCATAAAAGTGATCATTGATGCAGAAGCAAATCAAAACCTCGTCTATTTACATTAGTTTCAAATAAGTTAAAGAATTTAAAAGAGGAAACAGTTAAAAACATCCAAATCACAAAAACTAATGGCCTAAGAGTTGAGTGTTTGAAATCTAACGAGTTTTAGAGCTTTAAGAGCGTCGGCCATGGCAACATTGGACCTATTCGCCGGAATTTTATTCTTCTTGCATAAAGACTGGAGTTCTCTCCTGGTGAGACTCCCGAAATCCATGGTAAGAAGATGCGTTGGAAGTTTGGCGTAGATAACCAGCAGTGTCCAGAGGTATATATAGCTGTAGCCGTAGCCATTTGAGTGGAGATTCAAATTTGAATTTTCGGTTGTCGCTAGGCGGTTTACAGCCTAACCATCGCAGAATGCGGGAAGAAGACGAATCGCTCTGTTTTTGTGAATTTAAAAGATGACTTCATTTATGGTTCCTTCTTTCTACTCAGTATATTAAAGAGTGTACTCAAAATACTAATCCTAAAACATGCTATTTCATCCCATAAAATTCTTCCCACTTCCTTTTTGGGCCGTTCCAAAAATTCTTCTCACTTACAATTTTTGTACAATTTGTGTGGTTCACATCCGTTTCACTTTTTTTTACACAACTACAATCACACATTTTTACTTTATTCCACTTTCTTAATCTCTGTGTCAAGTCAAAGTGGGAAAAATTTTCTGGGACGGAGGGAGTACTTCGTAAGTTCGTATATGTTTTGCAAAATCAATATTTATCATTCAATCAATATAAAATATATAATTAATTTAATTTGAATAATTAAAATTTACATATTCAAAAACTACAATAGAATCCTTCTAAAGTTGCAAAATCAAAATTAAAATTCAACTAAGAATTTGTATTCTAATTAAGTGAATAAAATGAATCTGTTTGACTAAATAAATCAATTTTACAATTCAGTTTGGGATGAGGGAATAAATAGTTTTTAGTAGAAATTATTCTATTGTTTGTCTTTTTAGACACGATTTCATATTTTCATTTCATGTGATTATTCGTGTTACCAAATCTATTTTTTTTTTCTGTTGAGGTTGTTATTGTGACATTTTTATTAGATTAATACTCAAATATACTCCGTTATGTATATGACTAAGTTAACACGTACGTAGTTTTCCATTTACTAGTGTAAAAATGAACTTATTAATTACACAATCACTTTATATCACATTGTTTTCTGTCATTTTTATTGTAATTATATGTACATAGTATATGTTATTATTTCTTTTTATACATAATTCAAAATAGGAAAAATAATAAGCAATAAAAAAAGAGGCTGTTTTCAATGGTAAGGCATAAATTACAAATGGGAAAATACGTATTTAACATAAATTTTGTTCTAATCAATAAAAATACACATATTTGCAGGGTGCAATAATTAAGTGAATCACATCTCTACTAGTTTCTTCTTATGTTGCATTTATAGTTGAATACAAATAGAGTTTGTATAAAAACTAGTAAGACACAGCTACTGTGCTTGATTTTCACTTTTTCAGGGAAAAGTAAATGCAAATTAAGATTTCAACTAAAGTGTATATGGAATATTATTTTTTAACTACGACCAAAAATAAAACTATAAATACGAACTCATTTGATTTGAGAAACATAAAGTTTATTTAAAATAATGATAAAGAAAACAAATGTTTTCAATTGAACAAATTTGATCTAAGCAGGGTCTCATGTTTCATCACCATTAGCTTGATTAGAACTTCTCATAACTTGCCTTGACCAAAACGCAACTCTGTTACGGACTTACGGAGTAGGGGATACACTTCTGTGTGGTTTAATTAATCAAACATATGAAACTGGATTTTAGTTTGATGATTGTTCTTCAAAAACTACTTATTCAAACTGAATGGGATAAAGCCACATTGAAATGAAAAATAGGCAAACAAATCTAAACCAAGCCAAACATAGATTGATTGGATTTTAATTGGGAAATCATTCCCCTGGTTTGTTTTAAACCGAACTAAACCAAAAACTGTAAAATAAAATAACAAACCGAAATACCAACAAAACCACAATAGAAGAACATAAACACATTGAACTAAATAAATAGAACAACGCATGTTTCACCATATTGATGTTTATTCTCCCCCGTGTCCCCTCCAAAAATAGGGTCTTTCCAGGCTACCAATACAAGTAGTGCATCTGTGGCCTGTGGGCATGTGGCATTGGATCATGCTCTCTCATGCAATTATGTGTGAGATTGGGATCGAATGCTACCCAAGCCCATGTGAGCACAACTCATATGGGTAGCATTAGAATTAGCCCAAAAACAAAGCCCACTAAGCTCTAGGGACAAACTAGTGTTACAACAGCAGCCTATTGACTATAGGAACAATCAAACAAGCTGTCGCCTCCTATAAGTATCTTCATGCACAAAAACTGCTCCCAGAACAGCTGACGTGGGGACTTGAGATTGCCCCATTACAATGCCACCTTGACTTGAAGGAGCCACAGGTGGACCAACTTGATCATTCCCCTTCTTAGCAGAAGTCAAGGTCAGATAATAGACAATACCAAGGGCAACACCCGCAAGGGAAAGGTAAGCAGCTCCAGCAAAAACTCCAGGTTTAACTACATAGCAATAGTGGTTGCCAAAGTACATGTTGTCGTCACCATGGCGTTCATTCAATGCTGCCCCCGTTAGAAGAAGTAAAAACGCAATGACAGATACAAACCTGCAAAAACAAATAAGTTTTGACTATCATGTTTTTGCTATGGTGGGTTAGGGCTGTAGATGAACTAAGCTAACCAGGTTGGTGGTTCAAGGCCAACATGAAGGAATAGCCCCTATTGCAAGACCTTACATCCTACTCAGTAGTTTGTATTTTTCTTATATTTATTCAACTTAAGATGAACTCCTTTAACATGTTCTTCAAGATGATTGCTGGTTGGAGCAAACCATCTTGAAATATGTGTGTTCTTGGTTAGCATTCATTAAGCAGATATATAGTCTTAGCAGATCCTTGACATCATGAGCGGCTTGATAAAAGTTTGGTTGAGTCGTTTAATGAGGCTCATTAAAATGAGCAAATCAAAAGTTAGTCACTGAATTACCAGGAAACAGAGAAGCACACAAGTGCCAAGGTCCATTTAGCGCTGGACTGGTGCGGACCTTTTCTGCAACAAATACATCCAGATGCAACATTGACAATGATTTGGGCAATCATGAGGGCTGCAGCTGCAGTCAATCCAAGGCCCAATGCAGGACTCCGTGGGTATACACATTCTGAAGGTGGGATGAACTCAACTTGGTAACCCTGAATAACATTATTGGGTAATAAAGTGAATGATGGTTATTATGAAGATTGGAGTATGTTCTACAAGTCTGTAACAACATAAACTTAAAAGTTGACCGTCAAAAGCATGAAAATGTACGATCTAGCCCCTAAGCATAAATATAATTGTTAGATCATTATTATTTTTTGCGTTAGGTCAGATACTTAAAACATATTTTCCACTTGTGTAAGTGTGTTAACATTGAAATCTAATACAGTAATACCCCCTCCGGCCTCAACCTTATTGGGATGATTTGTTTATTATAGTTTTTATTAGTAAATCTAAATTTTATGTCATTTACTTAACCTTTCAATAAATTTCTACAGTAACCGTGGTATAATTTCTAAACATTTATACTTTACATTATAAAGTCACAAAACTAACGAAAGTATTGCTTGTACAAATCATCATCATCATTACCCCAGTGCCGCAAAGGCTCCCACCTACGGTGGGGTAAGGGGGAGTCGGATGTACGCAGTCTTACCCCTGTACTAAAGCACAAAGAGACTGTTTCCGGATGACCCATAGTGAACATCACGTCCAAAATTGCTTGGACCGACCGCTACATCATAACAAAGAAGCGCAGACAATTTAGTGAGTCATTTTGCTTTATTCCATCATATTCTCAAGCCAAAAAATAGCGAGTCTTTGGCTCCATTGCAAATGATGAAAAATTGCTTGTACAAAATATGGTTAAAAATATATTCACTCTTATCTCATTATATAACAATAGGATATTCAAAATTGTAAGGATGGAGTAGTAAGAACCGAAAAATTATATTATGTAATATATTTGGTACTATTTTCCATCGTTTGCAGTCGAGCCAAATTTTCACTATTTTTTGGCTTGAGAATATGATGGAATAAAGAAAAATGACTCACTAAACTGTCTGCGCTTCTTTGTTATGAAGCAACAGTCCGTCTATGCAATTTTGGACGCGATTTTCATTATGGGTCATCCGGAAACAATCTCTCTGTGTTTTAGTACAGGGGTAAGACCGCGTAAATCTGACCCCCCTTACCCTACCGTAGGTGGGAGCTTTTGCAGCACTGGGGTAATGATAATGATGATGATAATGAATATATTTGGTACTAAAGAAAATTGTGTTTTGCATTCTAAAGTTGAAAAGTATATAAAACTTGTATACAGTTTGTTAGATATTGACATCTGTTACTTGTGTGTCATTATAGACTGAATAATTTATACAATTACAAGTAAAAATGTTTTATACAAGGCCTAAATCTAATCTTCCGCACACAAAAATTTTATGGCATTTTGCCTTGTAGCCTACACCACTTAACATGCTTATGTCTCGTCTTTTTGACAACTTAACCACGGTCTTACTCAGACTTGAACACTCTCCTGTGGTAAGTGGTAACCTAAATACTTTTTTCAAGAAATTAGAGAAGCAATGAACTGCGAGCTCAGAAGCATAGATGCATACATGCAAAACCATCTTGTAATATAGGCCTCGTTTAGATTGACTAGTAATCCATGTAAATCCCCTTATTCCAATTTACCCTGATGAGGTGTGATGCATACATTTAGATTAGCAGATTAGGGAAACTAAGGAATTGAGGAATTGTCCTGCTTTTGTCAATTCCTAAAATAAGAGCTTAACCGTGCTTTTCAATGAACCATTGACTTTTGAGTGTTTCCGTGGAATTGACTGAAATCTCATTATTCCAACTGTCTTTTTATCCAAATTTCAATAATCCAATTCTTAGTAATTCATTGCATTTCCAACCACCAAACCAATCCTGCACTCTTTGCAGTGATTTTCTAGATTACTATTATCATAAACATAAGACTAAAAGGATAGATTGGGAAGAAAAGAAAAGAAAATAAAACATTCTCTAGAGTATATATGTATACCTTATTTAGTCAAACTAAGCGGACCTGAGATGTAAGCGAATGGTATCAAAATACAACCGAGTGAAGGACCAAATACACAGAAACCAAACCAGCATTTACTGAAGTAGATTGAACTAATTGAAGCATATCAGCGGGTGCACACAGAAAGCAATCACTGAGATTAGATCAGTAAATACCTTAATCTTCGTGGCTTCTGCTGCGAATCCGGCAACAGCAGATAAAAGCCCTAGTAATCCCGCAACGGAGCATACTACTACCACGTTTCTTTCCATTTCCAGTGATGTTCTTCTTACTCCTCCTCCACCTCTCTCTCAATCAGCGAAGATTTACTCCGCTTTCCAACCGTCGGAGACTAACCGGAGAGACCAAGAGAGGGAGAGAGTATTTCTGCTAATACCGACGATCAAGTAAGGTAATGATGAATGAATGCCTTCAGAAAAGGGAAAGCAGACTCCATCCTTCTCGAGAGTCAATTTGTTATTACTCCGTATTAATTATTCCGATTTTTTTTTTTGCATTATCTTTCTTACGCTAAAATATCAATAAATACTTCACATGCTCGACGTTCTAAAATTAGTCAGCGCGTACCGCATAGGACGTTATTGAAAGCTACATGTGAAAATATGGTGTCTATTTAAATTGAAAAAAATTCTAATGTCATAAATAAGACTTTTTTCTATTTTATTTTCAAAATATGAGTCATTCATTCTTATTTTAAAGAATTTTAATCAATTTATTTTTTTAATAAAAATAAAATATATTTTTCTTCAAAAAAAGGATAATATATACGATAGTACGTAGTATTTAGTCTTCTTTTTGAATAGGGATGGACTCGGGTCCGGGCCGGGCCTAGGCCCGGGCGGGCCGGCGGGTCAGAAATGGTGGACCCGGGACCGGCCCGAGTAACCACCGGGTCCGGTCCGGTCCGGGCCCATTTTTTTTTTTTTTTTTTTTCCTCTTCCTAATTAACCCCCTCCCACCCCCAACCCCCCAAACCACCCCAAATGGCCCAAAATACCCAGCCCAACCCGAAAATTTAAAAAAAATTGAAAAAAAAAGAAAAAAAATAGTTTTTGGCCCGAACCGGGCCCGGGCCCCGGCCGGGTCGGGCCTTGTTTTGGGTGACCCGAGCCCGGACCGGAAAACCCACGGGCCGGGCCTACTCGGACCGGTCACTGACCGGGCCACCGGGTCGGGCCGGGCCGGAACAGTACCGGTCCCGTGCCGGTTCCGGGTCGGGCCACCCGGCCCGAGTCCATCCCTATTTTTGAAGTTTGAATATGTTATAGTTTTATATTGAGCAATTTTTTCAACATTTTAAAGTATAATAAGCTATACATAAAATAGAACTTTTTTATTACGTTGTGTTGTTAATACTATACTTATATGAGATTTTCCTTTACATATTACTGAAATACTACAATAATTTAATGAAAAAAATTCACTATAGTTACTATGTATACTCACTATGGTGTGGAATTGCCGAATTGAGTAGTCATTGATGTTACTAACTTACTATGGTAGCCACTAAAGTATTGAAAAACATATTTTTACGCACTATTTTTATCTTGATAATATATTTGTCTATTTTTACACAAATAGTTTTTCCCATTGCTTGATCCAACTTTTTTATGTTGAGCTATGGATGGACTCGGGCCGGGTGGCCCGATCCGGTGGCCCGGTCAGTGAAAGGTCCGGGTAGGTCCGGCCCGTGGGTTTTCCGGTCCGGGCTCGGGTCACCCAAAACAAGGCCCGACCCGGCCGGGCCCGGGCCCGGTTCGGGCCAAAAACTATTTTGTGTTTTCAATTTTTTTTAAATTTTCGGGTTGGGCTGGGTATTTTGGGCCATTTGGGGTGGTTTGGGGGGTTGGGGGTGGGAGGGGGTTAATTAGGAAGAGGAAAACAAAAAAAAATATAATGGGCCCGGCCCGGCCCGGACCCGGTGGTTACCCGGTCCGGTCCCGGGTCCACCATTTCTGACCCGCCGGCCCGCGCGGGCCTAGGCCCAGCCCGAACCCGAGTCCATCCATATGTTGAGCTGTCTAAAAAAGTCAACCTTAGATGATTTTTTTACATCTACACTTGTTCCTTTTCAAACATTATTTCATAATCAAACTTTTTTATTAATCATCTTTTTTGCTTGAACAATATGGAAGTAAATATATGTTCATGAATTATATATTAGGGGGTTAGAGCTAATGAATTTAAGCATATTGTATTTTATAGTTCATATATGTTTGTAAATATATATACTTCATGAATTTCATTTTTGTGGAAGACTCTCTCCAATCCTTCCACGTCGGGATCCGTCTAGGGATGGACCCGGGCCGGTCCGGTTACAGGCCAGGCCCGGGCGGGCTTTTTTTGCAAAATGTTGGGCCCGAAACCGGCCCGGGTTGATACCGGGTCCGGGCCTAACCGGGCCGGGCCCGGGTCAATGTCTATTTTTTTTTTTTTGCTTTCTTGTTATCCCCCGACCCCCCCCCCCCTCACCCCCACCCCCAAACCTCCCTAAAACACCCAACCCTACCCTAGGAAAAGAAAAAAAATTGAAAAAAAAAAGACCCGGCCCCGGCCCGAACCGCCCGGGCCGGTTCGCCCAAAACTGAGCCCGGAACCGGCCAACCGGTCCCGGTCCGGTCCGGGCCCAAACAGTAGCGGTTCCGGGCCGGGCCGGTCCATCCCTAGATCCGTCTAATGAATTTGGAGGCCCTGGTTCCAAATATTGTTTACTAACCCAAACATAAGTTTATGTTGGCATGGTACCATTACAGGCTTACAGCTCTACAAGTCTACTAAGAAATAAGAAGTCCTTGGATGTGGGCATCAATATATTTATGTATGTTTCTAATAAGTAGCACAGAGATGGAATGTGGGGATTCAGAACATTACAGATCGCATTAGAAGTATACAAACATATATTACATCATCAGGAGAGAAGATGGACTTATTTATTCAAGTGTGGCCAGCTTCTCTTCATCAACCTCAAAGGCCTTCCTGGCTTGTTTCAGCTCTTCATTCATCGACAATAGCTCTGTGCACCGGTTAAGTTTCGGCAAGTCCTGCACAATAATAACATAATATATGGCAAAATCCCTCAAATTGTGTTGAATCTTCCTTCTGTAGTTTGACTCTCCGAATTAAACTATAAATAAATGCAGAAATATGGTACAAAAATGCAGTCTCCCGTTGACTGATTGTACTAAAACATATGGGAAGTAGGAAAACAAGGAACCACAAGGGCAAACTAGTGTTCTTTATTCCCCCATTTTAGTATCAGGTTGCTTTTTGGTCCCATTATTGCTCAATGGTTCAACAGGTTTAATCATGTTTAAATTTATAAAACAATAATATTGAAGTTCTGTGATTATTGCTAGGTCTGGAAGAGCGGACTGCGCTTAAAACTTCAAAATGTGTCCAATTCCAAAAGAACTACTACGTAATAAGTACAGTCATGCGCAGGGAAAAAAGCACTATTACTTCATAGCTCATATGTCAGTAATCCATAGCTCACATGTCTCCACTCAATCAACTGCATATTACTTCTTTAAGTCTTTTACATTTAAGATACATCAATCACTTACACTACCACATCAAGATGGGTTAAATTAACCCGGTTAATAGCATGTATTTGAGAAAACTTCAAATAATTCAGTTAGGTAGTTAAGCAACATACACTCAAAAGGTTATAAGAAATAGAATGCACCAGATGAACTAACCTAATGTTAAAAGTTAAAAAGTAACTTGCATATCACAAGCCATAGATGATATACCTTTCGAATTAAAAACAGAAAATCTTCTGTCAACCGCCTCCCTCTTTTGGAGGCAAGATCTTGAGCTTTGTGTACCTAGAGCCATTATAAAATAAATGCTTCCAATTAAAAACTGCAACGTTTTCTTCAAAAAAGAAGAAGAACAATTCAAGCAAAGGGATCTCATAACATTCCAAATAAAAAATAGCAGATCCAGAAAGTTTCCACTCACCATATCTGTGACATATTCCACAACAATGTCTTCTACAAGTGCTACACTCTCTGGAAGTGGCTGAAATGAAGCAGTACTTGTTAATAAATAAGACAAACCAAATGAGAGTAGCAACACTTAAAAGAGGATTTATGACACATGATCACATGGAGGATTGATCTGTTTTTGTTTGTCTCCTTTTTCCCTCTATTTATTGTTTCTAACTTCAATGTTATATTTCTATTTATGTTAGCTGACCTTAAACACTTTCGGGATTAAGGCATGGCTGTTGTAGTTTTTGTTGTTGTTGATCACATCATAACAGCATTATCAAAATATCAAATAAACAAGCTGTCCACCAGATTTTGATTTTGCCTAACAAAATTCCAGGGTACATATACGAAGGGAACTGACTGGTAGGGAAAATAAAAATACATACATTTGGAGCATCTCCAAATCCATACATCATATGCTGCACTGCACACCACCAACATAATAGAAGAGAGTAAGTTTTTGCAACACAGATAATTACAAATTCTGACAGAAATATTTTCAGAGGAGGGAAGGGTAAATTACAATCCTTCTGAAACATTCCACGTTTACGTTTAAATGAAACTTCTGATGGTTGAGACGCTCCAACTTTGGCTTTTGACGAGGGTCCAGCTGCTGAGTTGCTCATTTCTACGCTAACACCTTAGCTTTACTCGCTATCAAATCAGTAGCAAATGCGATGATATCCTTCACTGCAAAATTGACCAATAACTATCGTCAGGCCCGGTCCTCAGAAAATGGGGACCTTGTGCAACAACAAAAAATGTTTTTTCCAACCTTGTGCAATAACATACTTATACCAATTTCTTAAATCTTAATTGAATAATTGTTAAACACACTTATTCTCAATTCATTCAATTACTTAATACAAGTAAGTAATAACTGCAATAAATAAAAAAATAACAACATCGCAAGTAGGCAACACACTAATTTCACTAATTTGCAATTCAAAGAAATCAGAAAATCACAGTGCTTGGTTGCGTACCGGTTACTGCGGGTAGAGGCCTAGCGTGGACAGTGGACTTCTGGACAGCCCGAACTGGTAGGGCGTGATTGCGTGAGGGCGTCTGCGTACGGATAGTGCGGTCGTGGTCCTGGAGGCTGGAGTCTGGAGTCTGGAGGCGGGACGGGACTGCGTCCGCGGTGGTGGAAGCCTGGAGCCTGGCGCTAGATGTCGGGCGGCGGCGGTCGTCGACTGACTCGAGTCGTCGGCGTCTTTGGTCTTCCGCACTTGCAGGTAGGCCCCGGATAGGTTTCGTTATTAGATGGAACCTTATCAAAATAGTGTTAAATTCGGTTTTGTTCTCGTTACAAATGTAGTTTTTAAATTCGGTTCGATTCTAATAAAATTCAGTTCGGTTTTTACCTTTTTTCGGTTTCTTATAAAAATTTATCAATAATTCAAATTTTAAATCATGAAATTATGACCATTACATTATACATGCATGATATCTCAATGTTTAAATAGTAAAAAGTATGTAGTCAACTCCAATAACATATATGTAGCCAAAGGCCCAATACCCAGCCCAAAAGGCCACTAGGGAGAACATGCCCAAGAAGAGATTTAACCCGAACGGGAACCGAGGGTTCATAAGAGTTCACTCGGGTCGCGAACGGGGAACGACTCACATGATACACTTGAGGCAGATTGACGGGACACCAGACATGACCGCCATTCCGCTGCCCGAACGGGCAACCTGCAAGTGGCAAGGTGTATTAAATGCTAGAGTACGGCGTCACCAAGTGGAAGCATGAGCGTTCAAGCGGCTGGATTAGCAACCAATCAACATGGAGCACCCCATACCTCCCACCTACCCCCATTTTAGTACAAATAGGGGTATTAATTACATTGTAACAGGTTAGCATTTTGAAATTCAAAGCCTAGAATAGCTCCATGACTCTTGTTCTTGTATTAATCACTGTTCCTACGTGCCGTTCGGGAAATTTCCTGTGTAATTAGTGAATTACTTAATACAAATGGGCTTTTGAGCACAATATTATTCAGCTTTTATATTTTCATTTACCCTCGACCTATTTTCCACGTCCTTAATATCCAAAGCGTGTGTTGGGCTTTCGGATCTACGAGACTAAACCTCAACAATATAACACTACAAACAAACAATAAATATAAAAATGGACTAAAGTATTAAAATAATAACTACTCGGATTGGCCTGGTCCATAATATATAAGGTATTGATGGAGTATATGGCCCGGGAACCCCCGGCCCACAGACTCCTACTACTCCAGCAAAAGGCCCAACAGGCCCAAATCACAGCGCCCAGAGTACCAAGCAGCCCGCACTACGCGCCAGGGGTGCCTTCGGCCCCCTGGCCGAAGGCTCTAAATTCTCACAGAACGGGTTTCTCAGGCAAATTAAGAAACTGGGAGAAAACGGCGAAAACAGTAGCCCTCGGCACTGTGAGCCCTCGGCACCAGGGTGCCATCGATTGGAGGAGCCCTCAGCTACTGCTCTATGGCCGAAGGCATCTCACTCGACAAGATATCCGCCTCACATGCGTACAAGATCACCGTACCCTGCACAGACGTCCCATCCAACAGCCGCATTAAATGCGGCCACATGCGGCTGCCAGCGCCAACCAGTTGAGGTGACCCCTCGGCCAATGAGCGCTTGACACGTGTCCCTGCCCCAGCATTTATTGCTGCTATAAATAGCACCCCATTTCCCCATTTGTAACCACGCTGAAAACGGCATTCATACTGAATACACTCTCTCTCTACTTTTACTTACTTGCTCTGACTTCTCTCTAAGTTATTCCCCGTAATAACCCTTCGGATATATACCCCCGGGTAGACTATCCATCATTTGGTGCTCTCGTTGAGAGGTTGAACAATCGAGTAAGAAACCCTCCCCCTCGACCAAACACAAACACTAGCCCTCTATCAAAATGGTGAGGACAACACGTGCCAACTCAAAGAACGTAGAAGACAAGAACCTGGCCCTCGGCGACGTCAACGCCCCCGAAGCCTCTCACAGGGCTCCCGAGGGCGGTGTCATCGCTGGGCTGGAACAGGCGGCTGTCGACCTACGCCTTCAGATCCAACAAAATGCCCCCGATGCCCGCCTCGGCATCGAGGCCAAGAAGAAAAACCGGAGCGATGACCAAGTCGCTCTCCGCCTTCATCCAGACGGTCACCCTCAGATCGGGGAAAATATCATACTTCCCCCTCTGCCACACCCCTTCGGAAATCCCACCCCTCGGGTGAGAAACGACGAAGGGGTGGTGGCCCAAGATACGTCCTCCCAGGAAGTTCAGTCCCGGGACCGCCATAATGACAACAGGGAAAGGCCCCGTACTTCCGCCCTCAACCGGCTCGGAGGAGGGCCAGACCGCCGAGGGGTCCAAGACCGCCGAGGGGGGAAAGCATTCCAAAGGCCCCAGGAAAGCGGGGGATCTGTTTCGAGGGCAGACGAGGAGCGTCCCCCTCGGGACAAAGGCAAGGCACCCCTTCATGCCGATGATGCTCGACACCAAATCAACCAGGCCCACTCGGCCCGGGTTCGTTCGCAGGGGGCAGAGACCCTCCCGAAGGATCCCCGGGACGAGATTATTGCGGCCCTCCAACGCCGGCTTGACGAGATGGAGTCCAACAAAGCTCACGCCACCACCTCCACCCCTCATTCAGATCTCAAATACGAGGCCATGATGGCCAAAATGGAGGAGTTACAGAAGAGGGTGATCGAGGGCTCCGGGGAACCCGTCATCCAGCTCCGGACTCGGACGCCATTTACCCCAAGGGTATTGGCGGCCCGGATCCCGGAAAAATACCGAGGGCAACACATACAGCCCTACAACGGGAAAACGGACCCCCAGGAACACTACAGCAAATACCAGAACAACATGATGATGGTGGGGGCGTCAGACGAATATTTGTGTCGATGGTTCCTCTCCACCTTAGAGGGACCGACATACGAATGGTTCAACAGGTTGCCCGAGGGCTGCATTGATTCGTGGCAAGAACTCGCCCAACGATTCTTGACACAATTCGCCGGGAGGCGTCGCACAAGGAAGCACTTCTCCCACCTCCTAACAATACGCCAGAAGAAGGATGAGACCCTTCGGGATTTCCTGGAGCGCTGGAGGACGGAGGCCGACAAGGTCGACGGTGCTGATGACGGGACCCTCCTGGCCCTCCTACAAACCGTCCTCCGCACCGGTAACTTTTCAAGGAGCCTCATCATTGAACCCCCCCGCGACTACATAAGGGCTTTGCAGCGGGGGGACCGATATGCTGAGGCCGAGGAGGTGGAGAAGTATCACCAGCATCCGGACCAGCAGCCCCCGAGGGCTGACAACAAGCATAACCGGAGGCCGGGGGCTCCTCCAAATCGCCCCAAGGCTTCGGGACCCTCTGATGACCGCCCTCGGCAAGGCCAAGCCAAACCCGGGGGAGGTTATAAGAGCAACCCTAAGACTTGGGCCCAGCCCATTCTCCTGGACCGCCCTCAGACACCATTGACGCACCCCGTCAGCATCATCCTCGATTTTGCCGAGGAGAGGGGCCTCGTTGAGCGCGACTCTCGCGCACCCCCGGAGGTACACGCTATCAACCCTCAGTTCCCCTACTGTCGCTTCCATCGGCACCAGGGGCACAGGACCGATGACTGCCATCAGCTGAAGACGGCCATCGAGAGATTAATACAGACGGGGCACCAGTCCCAGTTTATCCAGAGCCCTCGGCAGGAGGGACCTTCTCATCAGGGACCTCCCCGAGGGCACCATACGAAGGTAAATGCCTAGGTAAATCCAAACACCATCCCCCTCGGCAAAAAGAGGGAGATTGGAAACTTGGAAGAAGAGGAGGAGGAATACCCCCACTACCAGGAGAAGAAACGCCACATCCTCATGATCACCGGTGGCAATACAGGGGGCGATTCCACCAGCCAACGAAAGAAGTGGGCTCAACCGCTTTACGTGGGGGAAGTCACTCATATGCCCCCGGTAAAGCGACTGAGGGAAGAACCCATCACCTTTACCAACGCAGATCTCCCTCCTACTTCTTCTCCTCACAGGGATGCCTTGGTGATTCGGACGGAGATAAACGACACCATCATTCACCGAACTTACGTTGACACGGGCAGCTCCGTCAATGTAATGTACCTCAGCACCTTCAGAGAGCTGCATCTGGAGAGGGGGTCCCTTCGGCCCATTAAGACCCCTCTTGCCGGCTTCACCGACGACACTATTGATTCCGAGGGGGTAATAACCCTCCCGGTGATCTTCGGCGACGGGCTCCATAGAGCCCAGTTCGAGGTGGAGTTCGTCGTCGTCAACATTGACTGCGCCCACAACACCATCCTCGGCCGGCCAGCCCTCGAGGACCTCGAAGCCATCATCTCCATGAGGCATCTCTGCCTCAAGCTTCCCGCCGAGGGGGGAATTGGCTACTCCCGGGGGAACCAGAAAATTGCCCACGCCTGCTATCTTCAGGTCACTAAGAAGGTAAGCAAGACGGAATTCCGTGTTGACACCATCACCGGAACCGTCGACCAAAAGGAAAGAAGGCCGAGGGCTGAACCGGTCGAGGACGTAGAAGACTTTGCACTCGATCCGGCCCAGCCGGAGAGAGTCGTGAAGATTGGAGCCCAGCTCCCTGAAGATTTGAAGACCGGTATCACCGACGCCCTCCGCGCCTACTCCACTGTCTTTGCATGGGGGCCGGAGGACATGCCGGGAATCAGCCGAAGGGTCATCACCCACCGCCTCTCGGTGGACCCTTCGGCAAAGGCAGTGCAACAACGAAGAAGACCCCTCTCCACCGAGAGAAGGGAATTTGTGAAGAAGGAGGTCGCGATGCTCCTCTCCATTAAGCACATCAAGGAGGTGAAATATCCCTCATGGCTGGCGAATGTAGTCCTCGCACAGAAGCCCCCTACCTTCCGCATGTGCGTGGACTACACCGATCTCAACAAAGCATGCCCTATGGATCCATTCCCTCTACCAAACATTGATCAATTGGTGGATGAGACCGCAGGGTGTGAGATCATGTCCTTCCTCGATGCCTTCCGAGGGTACCATCAAATTTTCATGCACGAGGAGGACGCCGAAAAAACTGCCTTCATGACTCCCGAGGGCATCTTCTGCTACCTAGTGATGGCCTTCGGCCTAAAGAACTCGGGGGCCACTTACACTCGGATGGTGGCCCGGGTCTTTCAAGCCGTCCTAGGGCGCACCATGGAGGCCTATGTTGACGACATGATCGTCAAGAGCAAACAATCTTCCAGCCATGCTGACGACCTCCGGGAAATCTTCGCCATCATGCAAAAATTCAACCTTCGGCTA